ATACTCACATCAGGCCTGAAATAAATTTTAGTGAGCATAAAATCTATCGACAAGGCACATTTTGTCACAAAAATATCACTGTAAGCTACAGGTGCAGTTAGTAGTTATTCGACTAGACATATTTGACTAGTGAAGAAGGTGAAATTCCTGACTAAAAAGATACCTGGGTTCGTCCAACGAATTACCGATGCTTAATTGTTGATTTCGCTTCCATTTTGTTTTTCGAATAACCGATATGGTAGAATAGGAGCACAGAAGTGGCGGAAGAGATATAATTAAAATAATGAATAGACTTGATAGGAGGAATGACAAATCACGATGACAAAACATGCAGGAATGTGACAATGTCAGTGTTGTAATTGATGACAGCATATGATCGGTTGCTGCAATAAAGCAAACTGAATATAAATCCTGCAGTCGATCTAAAATACAAACTTGTATCCGTGGAATATTGTCTGATGGAGACGAGTTAGCCGTCATTGAGATTTCCTATGGGAGATGTCGTGTTCATGTCTTATGTTCAAAGTGGAAGTAAGACAATGCTGGGAGACACCTGCTAACCGAAGTGGTAATTCAGCTCGTAAACAAGCACACTCCGATGAATTCAGTATCAGTGAATTATGCACCCATCACCAGTTTTCCAAAAAGGCCATAGTAAAACTTCGCATTTATGAAATTTGGGGATTTTTTAGGTTGAATTCCAGAATTTGACTAATTTTTGTATTTATGAATTATTTTACGATGCTGCAGAATAGAATAACGACTAACCATTCTTCCATTCAAAGCCTATTTCTATACCCGAGTTGATATTTGATGAGCTATTCATTTTCAGAAGTGAAATAACGAAGTAATCTTTGGAAGTGAACTGTAAACTGCTTTTATGAGCATGGCTGCTTATTACGGAATCATAAATTAACTCCTGAAAATAACAATTGACGTCAAAATCTTCAACAACAGGGAATTTCATGATTCTATGATGAGAATGAACCTCTTTTGTTAAACCGCGATAAATTGCAAGTCTAAATTGATTGGTAGTCGCGTCGTGTTTTAATTTCAGATACAGAAATCTTCCGTGAGATTTCAACGTCCAATCTGTGATTTCCTCGCACGTTCGAGCAAAAAATCTTCCAGCCGTATGATTAATTAGGCATCCACAGGAGCATAATGTGTCGTTTACAGTAATTATCATGGCTTTCGATTCTGGAAAGCATCCGGTTTCAATGGATAATTCTGTCTTGCTTCATGTTAGTGGAATTAGTGTTTGAGGAAAAGTATTAGAAATTTTACCTGTGCAATTGCGCGTATCGCAACTCAAAGATTCCACGAAACTTCCTCTGCATAAATTTCCGCCATTTTGAGGAATGGGCGAGTCGCATAAGCGCCATCGTCGTTGTAGCCCACGTCCACAACTCACGGAGCACAAGCTCCATGCAGACCAATTTCGCCAGCCACCTTCCACCTGTCCTACTGAAATGTTATAATAGTTTAGAAACAAAACACAGAAACTGCATAAGGTATTCAGCAAAGTACAACGAACTATTTAAGACCAAAGATACTACTCTCATATAGCCACTGCAATAATTCCTATAACGTTATCGATGTCTGTGCTCGGAAACTTCAAACGAATCTCAGACCGCACCGAATACTTTCGAGATTGCTTGCTGGTATATATTAAAATAATATGCACTCATACAATCAGTCTTCATTTCTCTGTGTTTCTAATGAATAGTAATCACTGTCAAGGCTTAACTATAGGATTTAAAACAGAGAAACTTTTCATGTTTGCCGGGCATTTCCTTCTTTGTTTATCATCTTTGTTATTTAGCACAGTAATATTAATCAACTCTTAGGTCTAAAAAATAAGGCTATAAAACTTTCACGTATTTCTACATATCAGTTAAAAGTCCTCCTGATAAAAAATGATTCGCCGTGACAGTTTTCGGATCCCTTGTCAAATGGCTGATAAGAGCGCGACACGAGTAACCTCAAGAGTTCGAGCTATCCCTCCTGTTGCTGAACTCTTCTCTTTCCCTTTCACTAATAATAATTATTATCATCAACTATTTATCGTTCACTGACAATTTCCTATAATGCACTGAATGGAAACAATAGAGCGTATAATTGCTTTCGTGTCCACTTCTAGCCATATGTTTCTTCCTGCCTCTCCCAACTTTCCTGTCCTAGGACACGGTGTACCACGTACCACACTTTCCTGCTCTTTACTTCTTTCCGTTGGATATCAAACATTTTTGGATATATATTTTCTGAATCAATGAACATTCCTCTCTATCTACGCTCCATTAAGTCCGTCTAATCTAGCCTTACCTGGCCAATACTCATATGAATAGATACCTTTCGCACACAAACGAATGAGGTTGTAACACTAACTTTTTTACTGGAGATGTGCCCGATCGATTAACTTTCCATTTGCTTTTGTGAAACACTAGAAGCGTACAGTATTCACATTAAAAGAAAAAATTTACGAAATGTCAGACATCATAATTCCCTTAGGTAATCAATGGTCAAGACAGAGATTTAAATAGCTGGGCTATAATAATTATTCCAGCCCATTAATCAAATTTAACTGTTATTATCTCAATTCTTTTAAAATCTAAGCATAGCCATAGTCGTTTGAACTGCTGTTCAGAGCTGAGATAATGATATGATAAGATAAAATGGTGAAAACGACAGAATAATATAATGCTTTAAAATGCCATTTGTTTTCATTAATATACATAGAAATAAGGAATATTAAAATGATTTGCATGAGAAGAGTATAATAAATGAATAAAAATAAATGAATGGAAAAATTAGGAAATAATTTGAAATTACCAAGCAATAATTCTAATTTTGTGAAAGAAAATTGATTTGCACTCAGATAAACCTATGTCCTTTTTGTTGATAAGTACTTCAAATTCCCTGCAATTATAATGAGAAATGAAAGCGGACTGTCACGCTAGCCTTCATCACATGCAATTATTTTCTATTGGTGCCTGAGTATTTGTCCCAGAAGAAATCCTTTTTCCATCCTGCTGCAAATGTTTTGATGAAGTTACACACACTTCATCGGATTAAAATTTGAGAATTTAGAATTCACAAATTGCATTCTTCAGCTGTAGAATCAAAATAGAATGATCATTGATTAAATTTCATTTTGACTGAATTTTTTGCTTCTGCAAAACTTCCTCCCTTTGATGAGCCGATGCTTTCTTGCTTCTTTGCTACAGCTTTGAACTTTAGCAGTGCGTAGACAGTTCACTCTAGCACTGATTGCTGTTAACAGTACTAACATTCACCAAAACTGTCAAAAGCATCGATTCTCACTCAGTCCGTTTGAATAATGCTTGCAACAACACATTGCGATGTGACTTTTAATCAATTCAAAATCGCCGAAAATTATTGTAATTCGTAAAATTACGTTGTAAAATATTTAAAGTAAGGCGGCAGTTTGCTATTCAAATTGACTTCACACTTATAAGCTGTGGAATAATATGGGACTTTTATGTTATCTGAGATAAAATATAGGGTGAAATGCTACTCGAAGAATGGAATATCCGTTAAATTTTAATAATTCATGGATGGACTGACTGCAAAATGAAAATATAAAGGAAGCAACATATGACGAAGACAGTGCGTAAACAAGTGCTTCATTTTAATTTAGTTGCATTGAATGATACTAATGAAGCTTATCTAATAAACCGACACTGTTCAATATCCAATGATAATTGGGAATTAGTATATAATATATAAATGGCAATAAAGTTACAGCTAGTAACTGTACGATGAAGTGAAGTTAGGCTTTGAAATTTAATGAATGACCCTCAAGGGGTAAAGGAGGTCATAAACAAAATGATTAGAAGTTCGCTAGCGAATCACAATTATCAGCGGGAATACTGAGGTTCAAATAAGATTAATGATTAAAAATTCGAAATTCAGAAATTCTGCCACTTATGATAACTTCAATAAACACGCAAAAAAAGGAAAAGTTAAAAACTAACAATTTTCAGTGTAAACGCATTTTCGTGTCCATTCACTGAAGCGTGCAGTAAATTTTTCCACTGATACAATTTGAAAGCAGAATTGCGCATGAATAATATCGAATTGATAACATGGCAGCTCGAGTGATTGCTGTGATAACTCTTAAAAGAGGAGTAAGCCAATCTTTTCCACTAATTTTAATTAAATATATTAAATACAAGCCTAGAGCATTACAGCCACCAAAACATCCTTCATTTATCCATCTTCTAACTTCATATAACGGATTAGTAGTTCGCAACGGATGCGAGCAATGATTTCCAAAAGCTTCCAAAAAACGAAGAAATATCTTCCACTGATAATCCAGTGAAATTCGATTGTATTCAAGGAAAGCCTTGCCAGTCATTCCATATAATCTAATCTCTGTTGTTAGACTTTCTCAAACTGTGAAAATTTCAAGCATAAAAACTAATCTGATTTTGAATAAATTTTCTTTAAAAGTAAATAAAACAGTATTTATTTGATTAACAATTGCACAGAAAAAGATCAACGATTAAAAAGTTGATGGCGAAAGAGGTCAGAGGGAAATTAACCATAGCTATGTGAGAGGTCTGCAGTCGATGACCAACCCTTTTTTGTTTGCCGGTAATATGGAAAGATTTAATCGAATGAAAGAAATGCAATTAGCAGATGTCTTTTTTAAGCGAGGAAATTTTATTACTTCTCTGAAGTTTAGTCATTTTATTGAAAAGTTTTCGAGTGCAATGATACCTTCCGTCGTCTGACAGTCAACGTTTTATTTTGGCTGAAGAGATAAATGCGACTTTTTATAGGTTTTACTCGTTGGAAAGCAATACTTTAGAGAAATTAATTTCTAAATTGCCATTGAATGAACAGTTTAGTTTCTACAATTTGCCCATTTGAAATTTAGTCTATATACTGAATTCAAGATTAGATAAATATTGCACAGAAAGGATATCTTTGTCAAAGTCTGAACTAATTTAATCTTACTGAATTCAAAAATACTAACCGATATCGTATTCTTCCATATAGTATAACTGTTCGGAAGTGGAACCTACCGGAACAGCGAAAACACGCATTTTAAATTCCAAATCTTGGACTAGGCATGATAAATTGGTCCAGGTTATCTTTAAGTAATCGAAACAACGAGGAAAGATATATGACCTTGGTAGGTTAATTGAAATTTCGTTCGTTTGCTGTAGTTTAATCGCTTTACTTTCCTGCATTGTATAAAAAAATAAAGCTAGAGTAATAATTTAAGAAAGAAAAAAAACTAATTCTATAACTGGGATTAATGATTTTCCTAAAATATTAGATGCAAATTAACAAAAATATTTGTGACGGTTAAAGATGGAAAATAGTTCCGTTATTTTCAGATAAAGTTGAAATATTATGAATGACTGAAAGGCTAAACAGGTAGAGATAAAGTTAGATTTAACTGTAATGTTATCATTGGATGACATTCAATAAGGACAATAAAAACGCATGTTCAGATACAATGAAACGTCTCTGCAGAGGAAAAAGGAAAAGAAAAGGAAACTTTTAATTATCTTCAGATTACATTTTTTACAAACTGATCTTCGTCACTTCAGCAAAAATAATTACATTCAAGAGAGTTATCCTAGTCCACAACTAATATCTATAAGTGTAACTTATTATTTTAAGCAGCAGATAGAAGTATGTTAGGAAAGAAAGGTAATAAATACTTCATTATCTTCATTGGCCTCGCTTAGGCCAAACCAAACATCAAACATGTTGATCAGCAATATTAAATTGCTCTTGATATGCAGTTAATTTAAAGATTAATTAGTTAGTTTAAAAAAATAATATGAAGAGAGTAATCATACTAACCTGCACAATCCATTTATCATTTACCACGGTAATTCTATAGATTCCAGGAAAACATAAGTGATGACAGGGAAGTATTAGTTTTTTTCTCAGCGGCATCTCAGCCACAGTCTTAAATTTCAAGTCATCGGTTTGTGTGGCACTTACTGTAGTAGATGGAGCGTACTGTAAATGCAGCGACAAGTTCAGCCTGTTACAGGGAATGCTGAAATCGAATTCTACCACGAGCGGTTGACAAATAATTGGGTTTTCCGGGATCTTCCAGAACTTTTTCCCTGTGACAACCGAAAATCGGAAGATTGGAATGTTATCAATTAGCAGTTCATAGCGATCGGATGGAAATCCAAAACACCTACACGGGAATATTGCATTTCCCATCGCATTCAGTGAGCAGATGGAACGATTCATATGACGAATTCGAAGGAAAATTGCATGAGGAGTATGAAAAGACACCGCGGTGAAAAGAGGAATCTCACGCGGGAAAGTAAATTCTTGTGACTGATTACTGCTTGGCAAATTAGAAACGGTTCGGTCAATGAGTATAAATAAAGTTGAAAAACTGAGACATTGGAATGCAAAAAGCATAACAGAGCATCCAATGAATAGAACAGAAAGAGGTCAACAGTTGAAAAGGTGAAAATTAAATATGCAAAAGGTAGCAATAAGATGACATATCTCAGATAATATTCAAATGATTTGCTCGAAATGGAAAGCAAATTAACAGAAATAATTCATTTCTTTTGGTCTTCTCATTCACCTGAAAACATTAATTAATTTTAAAAATAAATTAGCTAGTCGAATAAGAATCATTTATAAAAAAGTAAAAAGGAAAAAAACAACAAAAGGCCAAAAGACCAAAATCCAAGAAGTTCAAAGAGTAACGAAATTTAACAACTTCATATATAATTTCTCATAAATATCGCTAGTGCAACGATGTTACTGAGATGAAGCGAAATTCTTAGCACAGCCAGATAATTCAGGAATAGCCTATTCCAAGGCTATTTCATAACTCTATGACCGTAGTTTCCTTTGGCCTATTAGATTGGGCTATTTCCTTGCACATCCCAGTAGATCTCTGCTTCCCTAGCTTTTCTTCAGAAAATGAGAAGAAAAAGATGGAACTGACACTGATTTAGCATCCTCTGTCCAGTGTTCAGCAAGCATTATTTTGTGATCCGTGCATGTTTGTGCGGCAAAGATGAAATTACATGACACTACATAGTTAGACGATATCTTCTTTAGTATTATTAAATCGCTTTTGAAGTCATAAAATATATCGCTCAAACTTTATAGAAAAGCTTTGAAATGCATCCAACAATCAATTCATGCAATGCAAATTTCAGCTTGAAAAAAAGTTGACTGAATTATTTGCAGCAAAGAATATTGTTTCTTCAAAAAAAGTTTTGAGTAACGAAGTGGTAATGTGTTGCCAATAACAGAAAGAAAATCATGAATTCATTTAAGAAGGAATAAAGAATGGCAGATTTTTGATTGTGCAACAATAAAGAAGCGTCTGAATTGGACGTATCGGTAAAAATGGAGAAGAGAGAGGGTAGTTTAATTACATGTCACAGTCAATGCTTCTCAATGCTAATGCTAAAAGCTGTTGGAGAGGAGACGGGCACAAGAAAGGTGGAGAGAGGTGAAAGGTTTTTTTTTTTTTTTTTTTATTTCATTTGACATTGTTTTTCCATTTGTGAAAGATCAAAGTTCTGATGCATTGTGATGCATTATACAGGCAAATTTTAGAAATATTTTCCTATTCAAACGGAAAACAATATGGGTCAAAATAATATGAATAATAAGAGCAATAGCAAAAAATGGTAATGGATATTGGTCAGTAAGCATATAAACATATCTCACCTCCCACTTAAGGGCCGAATAGTTGGCCACAGCAGTCTGAGGGAAGAGTAGTACACAAGGCAGGCTTTCGTCGCTTCTACTCAAATGAACATTGTAGGGTACCGATGCAGAGACAGGAGGGTGGGGTAAGATGAAAATTAGGTGACAAATTAATTGGATTACGAGCACAGAATATATCTGCGTCAATCTCATTACCACTATCGCCTGGGGCAATGCTCATTATAGTATTATCACTAATCAATGTACCGATTGAATTTTAGGTAAAATATTGTGCGAAGAAGCATTACCTAAATTTTAAGTTATGTAGATCAACCACTGGTTACATTCTGTGTAACCAGTGGTTGATTTACCCGACATTCTATCTGTATTTAATCAAAAATTAACGTAAACGGTTGGAAATGTGAAATACTATTCTATGCTAATTTTTATTATAAAATTACAAGTGACATATTTGTGGCTCATTTGACATTGCTTTTCCATTTGTGAAAGATCAAAGTTTTGATGCATTGTGATGCATTGTACAGGCAAATTTTAGAAATATTTTCCTATTCAAACGGAAAATAATATGGGTCAAAATAATGTGAATAATAAGAGCAATAGCAAAAAATGGTAATGGATATTGGTCAGTAAGCATATGACCTTTTGTCTCATTTTAAAGAGTTTCTAGCTTTCTTTTCCAGTCATCCTATTTTAAGCAAATCAAATTCCTCTGAAGTTTTCACAATCAGTTTAGAATTTCAATTATAGCAATTTATTGATGGGTTATTTCTTTCATATAAGGAATTATTGCGAATTGATCATTTGAAGTGATGGAAGTCCGTACTAGAAATTAAATTCAGTAGAAATGGTTTTGTGTCATATAAGCATTTGAATAAAAGAAACTCAGATTTTAATAAAAATTTAGCATTAGAATTTTCTGCTTATTACTATTTTTTCCAATTTATTTCAACATTTTTGCTTTCTTTCCATCATATTATCATCTGAATAGTTAATTAATTTGTTAGATTATAGTGATGGTATTAACTCAAGAACTGCTTTAGTATCAATGGAATTAATAAGATGAAATTAGACATCAAATTTAATTAGCTTCAAGTTTAGCTATTCTGATCTCATCTCAATAAAAAATTTTAAGAAATACTAAATTTTAGAGGATGAAATTTAGGAGAAACTTTAGGACAATATCAAAAGATCTTAATTGAATAACAACAGATCCAACAAACGATATATTTGAATATGACAGATTAATTTGCTATATTATCATAACAGTTGAGGACAATTCGGTATGACAAGAAATTCACTGACTATGGAAGATAGCCTTTTATGCTAGTCGTGAAATAAAGAGAAGTGTGATATCATCGCATTTGATAGCTAAATATCTGAAATGTATGACTCAGCGAGCAGCATCGTGAATGTTAAATTTGTTTTAAAATTTAAAATTTAATTTAACAAACCACCTATACCAGAATTAATCAAAATAGAGACAGAGATCAATTTCAGGTGTTTTTGTTTCAAGCAATCAATAAAACGATGAAGATAGAATTTTCTCAAATGGTTGCAAATAGCTGGAATATTTCCCATTCCAGAGTGCACTTTCAAATGAACAATTTAGAAGGTTGGGCATTTATCTTAATGAATGCAAAAAAGAAATCAGTCAGATTCTTCTTTTTATATTTGTAACAGACGAAATGACTTCAAATCGTTCATTTCATTATTTATCATTTAAGTCAATTTTCATCCAACTGATATCATCAAATATTCATTTTTCATTTATATAGTGTGATAAGAAATATGAAATGAAGTTATCATCCTTTTCTAGTACCATCTCATCTCATTAACCCATTTTCATCTTAGCATTAAAATAAGTAGCCTTGATGACCATCACAAATACATTGGATCGTCATACGATTGCATGGTGACACTTAGAGTACCGACTGGATGGTTTTCAGCAATTATATCATATTCCATGGACCGCGTATCATTATCAACGCTTTCCACAACATGCACTGCACCCAAAGTTCGGTCACGAATTGATCGCTCTTCCATTAATGCTATCAAAAAGTTATGAGTCATATCTCTCCTAAAATTATCATAGTTGCAAAATAGGAATATTTATTCAAGCTACCTATATAATATGTCAATATGAACACATAAACTTTACAAGTTTCAAGCTATTCTTACTGATCATTAACGAAAAGTAATGGTGATAAAGTCATAGGAGTATGCTCTTGTATGGGTCATATCAATTGGTTTACAGTTTACATAGTTAATATGTACACTTCCGTCCTCAAGAAAAAGTTACTTCCCAGTTCAAATTTATATACCAGCAATGTTCAAAGGCAAACCCATAAAAAATGAAGCACTGGTTCCAGAAGACTTTGGTACCTTCAACCGTTCTGGTTCGTACCTCTTCTTTATCACAGTTGATAACAACATATGTACGTATTGCTGTAATAACAGGAGAATTAGTCGATGTACCACTTATAAATTATTATAAATTTGCGAACAGAAAGCATTATCGTTCGCACACTGGAAATTGCCATATGACGACAAATCGGAAGTTCACCGAATCTTAAACTTGAAATATTGAATAATACGCTGATTATTTCATGAATTTAAACTTCTTAATTTTTTTGTTGGTCTTCCTAATTTAAATTGGCTGGTTTTGATTTTAAGAGATAACAAGCAAACCTTCGTTTTTGTTATTCAATTTTGCACCAACAACAGTAATTCGAACAATAGAATTCATTTTTTTACAAGAACATAATCCTCGACTGGGTGTATCTTTCTTGAGTAGTCGGGGAGCAATATTTCGTTCCGAATAAATTCGAAGCAAAAATTCAGCATATTCGCGAGGTGCAAATGTTGTCGGGAATAGGATGTACCGGCCCTGTTGTAAATTCTGGCAGTGTAAATACACTGAACGACCGTAGTTATAATCTGATGTTACTTCCGGATTTATTGCCTAGAAAGAAATTCGTACCTTTCACGAAGTCATTTATTCTTCCAAATAAATTAAATGTTCTTACATCTCAAATTGTTTAATGATCCGAGCAAACTTGTACTGAAATAAGCTAACACATTTTCAGCCAAAGAGTCGTCGTACATGAATTTTTAACAGCAATTATTTGATGTCTAACATTAGTTAAATCAGAAATGCTTATTTCCGAAGATTGTTTCAACCTTAACTCACAGGTAATTTGCAATGCAGCAAACCTGATGTATCCTGTATATCCGATTATTTTCTACTCTCATCAAATGCATTCCAATAGTCACCAGGGGTTCACGGTTCTTTTCACCTTCATCCTTTACTTTTTGCGTTAATGCGAATCGCACTTCAGAATTATCAACATCGATATCAAAACGGTACTGAAACACTGCAGTTGGTATTAAATTTTCGGTATGGTATAAGCTCATTAGTGAAAATCACTTCCCAAAAACATTATGGTATTCTCTGCTAAACGTAACTTATTTCAATAGTCTGAAATAAATTTCTGATTAACACATTGTAGATAAGAAAGCATTTCTTCTTGCACACTAGCAGGAAATAAAACAAATTTGTTTTTTTTTTTTTTTTTTTTTAGTTTATATTAAAAATTAAAGTCAATTTTAAAATGAAGTCTAAAAAAAGTCAATTTTAAAATAAAATGAAGTCCACATTAACAAGAACAAAATCAACCCAGTAACGCAGCGCCGTACTTCTGCGCCGGTAAGATGAACTAAGTTTAAATGATCCTTCTAAACTTTCACCAACGGCTGAACTGTGGTGATCTGATGCATTATAAATGAAAATATTCCTGTATCCGTACACATTTTATTGTCACATAGCAGAACTGAATATCAAACTATCTCCAGTCGTGTGATACTGTCCTCTGTGTTATAGGTTTTGCGAAGGGACTTCATATTTGCGAATTTCAAGGGAATGACAAAACCTGTGGATTGCAACAAAAGGTTGCCATGAAATTGATACATCCACCTGCTCGATCATTTAATGCGCCTTGTTTCTCTCCATTTGACTTCCATTCACCCAAAAATTTCCATTCGTAAAACTTAGAGCCCAAGTTGAACAAGGAAGTGTTGAAAAGCTGACATACGCTGATGTCAGTGAAATAACGGATGAACTCATTCCACGGCATCCTGTAGCATTGTCCATCGGTTCATTTACATACTTTTAAATCCTCAAGAATTAATAAGAGCAATATAATATTAAAGTTTGTTTTAGAAAGCTGAGGATGTTTTCTCGAAAGTTTTCCTTTCGTTATAATGCATACAGAGTTATAATTATCAAGCAATCAAAGAAATGAGTACCAAAACTCGCCATCCTCTTCAACGATAATACCGAGCTCCTTTTTATGTGCATCTGTTACCTGCAAATTCTTCCCATTTTCCTCGAAACAAGAATTTCTTGAATCTGTCCTTATTGAAAGTTAAATAATTCCAAATTTTTCAAGAAACGATTTTTGGAGCTGTTTTCATGACATTAATTAAATAATAGTTGAGCAACACTGAAAACAGAATGAAATTTATCCAACAACTTCAACCAATCAAATGAACTAAAAAAAAATGTTCTAATGCCAAAAATATTTAAAAGTAATCCAAACAACATCTCTTAAGTAGAAAAAAAATTTCTACTAAAGAAATTCAACTATGCAATGACACCAATAATGCTTATCGCTTAATTTCGGTAGTAGAGCGCAAAAAATCTGAAACTTACTGGAAAATCTCACCTGTTCCCATTCTTGTGACCCATCTGACCAAGGTCCATTCCACTCCTTCTCTCCCCATGGATTCTGCAAACGTATCATCATCTGACGTTCCATTGTTGTGAAAAGTAAGAATGAACGATTTCTAGTACTGAGTTCGATGTAACGTACTGCGGTGACTGCATATGCATGACCTTTTACTAGACCACATCCCAAGACTTCTTCAACCTCTTCTTTATTCCTAGCCTTAAAAAAATTATCTCATGAAATTTCAACAGTTTGAAATATTGAAATTAAATTGAAACTTCTTGACACCTTAGATAAATCAGATCAAATTTAAAATCATATTAAATTTGAAACGTACCATCAAGTTGAATAATTTGATACCAATAATATTCTGATATTACTTTTTTTTTATAATTTTGTATTCGATAGAAAATGTTCTTATTGAACATAGAGTATCTTTATTATATTTGTATAAAGGATAACATTTCCTACAAGGTTTGTTTTTCCAATTGCATATGACCATCGATCACTCATTGGAATTTAACTTTTTTCAATGTTTTCGATTAGCAATGCTTTCTTAAAAAAAGGGACGAATAATTATCAAGGATACTTGTACTTCGCCATCTGATTTAGATCTAATTATGAGAAATCTTCATTTTACTGTTAGTGGTTTCCAGGCAATTAAAATATTAGGTCAAACTGAATCCAAATGCTGATTAAACTTATTAACAGAGACTTCCATTTTTTCTTCTCTGTAGACCTTATAAAAAATTGATATATAACGCAATCAGGTTATTTTAGTAAGTATCAACTAGCTTAGTCCGATTCTTTTTAGTAAAGTCAAACTTATTCCATAGCTTTCGAAACAGTATATAATCTTCCTTATCACTTGAAAAATAAGGGATATTTTTTCAAAATGATTTCGAAATTTTACTTTCAAAGCAATAACTGCTCCATCAGATCAAGTTTTCTTATTTCTGTTACTAAAATTTAATAAAAAATGAATTGATTCTAGTTTCAATGTGAAGTGACTCAGACTCATTAGCCACTGGCAACTTCAAAGTGTGAACAAAGTCTAAGTCGTTAAATATGAAGGACCAGAAGTACCTATAAGCTCAAAGTTAGAAATGGTTGGTCAGAGTAAAATTAGCTATTAAATAAGAAACCTTTTAACTGAATTTCACTTACATTTACTTATTTATGGTATAATTTGAAGCACATAAGAATTTCTAATTGATGCGTTTAGTTGAGTGAACGCAAAACAAGTGTACGTGTGTCAAAATGAGGGATTCAAACTGATAAAATAAATTTGAACCACTTAGCGTCACTTTTACAAAAGAGTGTCAGTATCGACTATACAGCCGTGATCATACATTGAGCGTACAGCAATTGCAGCGACGATGAGTGCCTGTTGATCAAAAGCTTCTTTGATTGCACAAAACAGTTTTCCGGAGGAATCAGTCGGGTCGTTTAGTAACTGTTTTTTGACTTTGATTGTTTCCGCTATACCACTTGAAATGTCTTCCAGTGCATCAGCTAACTGACCGCCAACCAAATTTTCGTAACAACCGTATAATCTGAAAGACAGAATTTTTCTATCTGAAAATCTCCCAAAATTAAATGAGGAAGGAATGCATAAATTTCGTCTTGTTATTAAAGGATGCGCCATCAGAGACTTTGATGAGATCAAAATGATAAGCCGCCGTGAAACTTCAAGGAATAATCAATGAGCACTATTAGGTTTAATGAATAAAAATGCTTATTTCGAAATTTTAGATATCATAGGATTATTACTTATTGATAAAATTATTAAAGCAGAAATTCATTAGATCTAGCAAAATATATTATACTTCAAATGTCGCCATAAATTGTGTAAATTGTTTTTGGGAAATGGATGAAATCTGTTCAGAATATCTTAAAATCATTACCAAAGAAAAGATGTCGAAATTGACCGATTTTATTTAAGCAAGAAAAAAAGACAAACTTGGCGAAAGCCTTTTCGAGCAATGCACTCCAGAATTCATTGGATGATTTTGACCGTGCAAATAGTAGCTTTCCATCTCGAGTTGGCAATAAATCATCAATAACTACTTCAATCCACTGATTGAAACGCCAAAAACAAAAGCGGAATATACCACAGTAATAGTTACTATCCGTCCACTCTTGTCCGGTAGCATCCGGTATCACCTGAATTCATTCTGGTACGTCTACTTCATGATTTAGCCAAGTCTCATTAAGACATTAGTATAATGATTATCATTCCATTAATATCAGAGCTATTTTGATCAGCAAAACATCTAATTGCTTTTTTCTGGGACATTCTTCAACTTTTTTTGCTAGATGAAAGGCCAACAGTTATGTGAAACAGCTAGACAATATGGAAAACAAACTTTTTTGAGCAATGCTTGGTTGTGTGTAAGCGCTGAACAGGCAGATACGAACCAGCAGTTACCGAGTACACCTTGAGCTACATCATTCGCCGTGGCACCCTCCACAAATAACTGTGGATTGTCAACAATCTCCTGTAATTCACAGGTGAGGAGGCATACAAAAGAGATATTTCATTAGAAACAATCTGTTTTCTTTGATCCCGTGACCGCAGCCTTAAAATTCCACTTATAAGTAAGATGAGAAATTTTCGAAAATTAAGATGCATATGGACTATGACATCAGCTAACATCAGCGCGTTCAACGCTACGTAACATTAATTAACTTAAGAAAACGGAAAGCAATGGAATAATGATAGAGTTTATACAACGAATTCTTTCTCATCAATCGCTATTCTTTCACATTACATACGCACTTTCAGTTCAAGCAAACGGATTGTCACCCACATTACCGTTAAATTACTATTCATATTGGTGACAGATGAGGCAGATTAAGTAGAAGGACTTAGTTACTTCAGCACTGATAATTCTTGCAAATAAATGATCGTTAAGTGAACTATTGTCATTAGATTGTGATCAATTGTATGTCAAATCCAATCTTTCCAATTAGAAGCATTTGTTGATAATTACGAATATTCGAATGATTTAAATTTTAAGAGTTAAGGTTAAGTTTAGATTGTTTATTTTAAAATAGTTTTTGTTCTAAGTTAAGCTGACAGATCATTCTAAAAAGCTTGTTCTACTACGAAATATTAAGGTTAATGAAGTGGTGCGAAAGAGCAGTTTCCATTCTTTTAGTGAACATTTTAGCTGCTTAGCAAGGTTTGTTTTGCTTTGAAAAAGAAATTATCAGTGGTTCAGAAGAACGGCTATGCAAATCTGAGAAAGCAAGCAAAAAGATTACTTACACCTGGTCGTTTCCATAGGATATCATCGATTTCTGGATTAACTGGTCCCACAAACAGGGAATCATTAGTAGGTGGGAACTGGACATCCACAAAAAGCTGTTTCTTTCGAATGCACTCTGCTTTTAGACGTCGATAGTTTTGTGCATGGAAGTGTCGTCTTCCCATAACGACAACTTGCTGTGACAATGTTTGCTTTACAGGGACAGACGATGACAGTTGCTACTACTATCAGCACTGTAAATCGGAAGCGATGGTAATTTAAAAGGGACATTAGGAAGGTGTGTCTGTCAAACATTCATAGACATGCACTGCAAGACGTAAGAGCAACACCTGTTTGCTTCCTACAGAAAAGGTCAACATTATGTTAAAAAACATTTTTCCTTCTCTAAAGTTATTCGTAATATGTTTGCAATTTCTGTTATGCACAACAATTTTCTTTTCAAACTCCAATCGCTTTACGATTTAGACTATAATGTTGTAGTTGATACACAGTATGCGATCTACTCGGGTATTTACCGTGGGAAGTGAAGGGAAGGTATTTGTTACAGGATTGAAAGAGGCTGTTGCTTGAGCATATGTTTTAGATTTAGATAAAAGTCAACATCACGGATAAGAAATGTAAACAAGAGAAATTTTCTTTTAGAAACATAATTAAAACGATCGTCTTTCAATGTTTCAGATGTCTGATTGTAAAAAAAAAAAAAGACAAGTATCAACCACCAATGAACTATCACTGAAATAAGTGATCTTATTTTAATGATAACTTAATTGATATTTGATAACCTTATTTTATTCAACCCTCAGAATCATTTCTATTCTGCCAGCAATTCCTCAGCCATTTTAAAGAATAAACAAGAAATTCATTATACGTCATGATATGATAGATGCTGTGTTGACAGGTTAATAAGTATTGTAATTGTACATCATCTTGACAAAATGTGACAAGGAATATATAAAAAAACAAGTAACAACAGGTATTCTTTTTTGCTCACCCTTTCTCTGTCACTTCTTCATGCAAGAATTTCGAATAGCTATGAAATGCCATATCGTTCGTACATGATGTCTCTTGTTAGTCCTATAGATTCAAATATCGGTTAAAGAGGCAATGTACGATATTGTACGATGTAAACTCTTTTAACAATGAAAAGAACAAACTCTATGGCGACAAGGTGTATCGCAGTAATCTTTACCCTTCCACTCCACTTCTACTACTTTATTCTCATATGTAAAAACACAGTCCATCGATTTCTGTTCGATAACAATATAAATTCGATAGTTAAATCAAATACCATTTCGACTTTTTAAGTACTGTTTTTTTCTCAGCATTGTATCGGTTGAATTGCCTTAATTGTTTATATTACTTAAATATAAAACTTAAAAATGTTAACATTATCGTTATATGTCCATTTGCGCCTTCAACTTCAATATTATTCCTTCTTTTATCTGACATTATTCCCTAAATAAAGGTAATTAGTGAGGAGAAGGGTTGTAAAAGTTCATTTCAAAAGAAGAAAGTTTAATTTCAAAAAAAAAAACTACCTCATAAAGAAGGTTCGTATCTTCGTTACTTCAACCGACATGTTAATTTGATTTGATAGGAACGAAATTTCTTTCTTTTTGACAACTGTCGTCACACGAAAAAATTTTTTATCAAATGTCAGATTACTATGCCGTGTCCTTCGTCTTCTAATGACTTACAATCCGGAAGTAATCGATGTGTGAAGTGAAAAATTTCAACTTCAAGCACTCTTTCGCTGAAGAGAATCGTAAACAACAACAAATAGGACTGATCCTTTTTGTTGTTTACGAATCTCCTCAGAAACATATTAGAACACTAATCAATTTTGAGACATAATCTTTTGCGTTTTATTTTCTCCTCGATGAATTTCAGCCAGTGAAGAAAAGAAAGATAAAATTCTCAGTAAATTGGATTCAATGTAACCAGCATAGAGAGGTAAGTAAAGTAAGTTCCTTATCAATTTAAGTTACGAATGACAACAGGCACAGTCCGTTGGTCAGGTATTTCTGTTTCAATTAATGCAAACAACGTTACTGAAAGAAAAAAACTTGGCTAGCCACTCGATCAGAGGATACTGCATTTTCCTTAAATCTGTTTTCTGGTTGTTGACTCCATTCTTCGGCAAAGTTTTGCTCCATCCTCGACCCCTTCATCCTAAACAAGTTTCATTTATAAACTGCCACTAGTTAATTGGACATCCAACAAGCTTAACAAAAACAAAAGCAAATTCATTAACACACATTTACAAGGATTACATATGAACTGCTGACAACAATAGCATGAATCCCTAAAAGGAGTCATCCTACACTCTTTTGTTCTTGGAACTGCATTTTGACCTTTCCACCTTTGTGAATTGTTTTTTTAGGTTACAAAGACTGCCTGTTCGTTCATTTATTCCACAGCGACACGTCCATCCTTCAGGTGTTAATAACTAAAGCTACCAATTGAAACTCGCAATCAGCAGGAAAATAAAGCAGACCACAGATCTTAATATCATCAAAAACTTATTCAGTGAGATTTACTCTAACTTTGCTAGGAAATTTAACTCATCTAAAACCAAATAAATTATTAACTTACTGTTGCATTTTAAAGAAAACATACGCTAATTAAATGTAGTTATTTAATTAGATTTAGAAATAACTCTGAGACTATTTCCACTACTTAGAGCAGAAATAAATCAAGGATTTGTCAACCTAATTCCGATTCTGCCAAATTTAATTTGGTGGTTCCATATTCCGCTCAACTATTCTCAGGGAGAGCTTATGGTTATTTTCTGACTCCCATGTATGCATAGCATTCACAGTTCTCATCCTATAACTTCGATTTCTTAGTTCGGAAACCACGAACTGAAAGTTCAGTAAAATTCAAGTCTTTAAGCAATCTTTAAGCAAAATCGAAAGTATAGAATTTAAAGAATGTTCAGCAGCAAAATTGGTGCAAAAAATGGTCAGAATTATCACTCAAACATTAAAGATGTAAATGAAATTTTATCAATAAGGGATCATCCCGTTCTTTGATAATTACTCTCGAGAACAAAATTGGTTTGTCGACGAGATTCACAAAGTTATCTTTCCCTGCTTTATTTGTTGTCTTCATTCGTTTCATGCTATGTGACATTACATAAAATAACTGACATTTATTGTGAATACTAGCAATTTCTAATGACTGCACAGTGTTAATTCAGTGTTGAAAACATAAAACTATGAATGTGCTTTTGCAGACTTCAATCATTCACAGTAGATACTGTATTAGGTTTTACTTTGCTGATATATACATCGGGGATGGGTCGTGTCATTCCTCTCAGTAGCTCTACTGTACTTCGACCCCGCTCCTTACATTCATATTCGATCATCTGTCGCCAAAATGCCGTATTTGGTGATATAAATGGCCTTTTATCCAGCACGTCGTAATATGCTTCCCTCAAACTTAATCCTTCGTTGAGTACCAATGACATTATACACAGCGACGAAGAGCGACTGATTCCAGCTGCACAATAAATTAATGCTTTTCCACCCTGTAGAAAAAATTCTTTTTGACGACAATTTAAATTTTCTCTCCAAAACTCGAAGTACATTTCATCACTACCAAAATAGGCGTTTCACTGTGTCTAATGTAGATGAACTCAATCTTGATTATCCAAATCAGCTATCAATGATAAACTTTTTGAAATTCTCACAAACATGTTATCGTACTTTAGAAGTATGTAACCGTTATTAACATTTCTTCACCCGGTCGAATTCTGTGAATATTAAAATTAAGTAAACTTCATCAGCCAGTTCTTATAACAAGCTAAAAAATTATTGCTTAAAAATCATATTGCAACACCTTTTTTTGTGCATTCTGAATAAACTGTGCAGCATTTCCAAAATGTGGAGTAAGGTTAGCGATCAATGAGTCATCCACCATGATGTGCAGAAACTCGATTCCTTCATAGTGCGGATTATGGGGAAGATTGGTAGCATCAATTATGTGTGTTATTGCAAGATCTCGTAGTTTCTAAAATAGATCCGTGGAAATATGAAGATAAAGCTATAAAGATAGCAGTTTCTTAGCTCTCTCAAGTTCTGAAATAAATCTCTAGCAGTGCATTAATCAGTACAATGTTTCAGAATGAAAGAGAAAAGAAGAAACTTTAGAATATTAACAACACTTTTCCTATTCCAGTTTTTCTAAAAAGGATATTTTTTAAATTATAAATACGTTTTTTAAATACCAATAAGCTGAAGCGAAATACTTTCTTACAAATCTTTCTCGTCAATTATAATTTCTCATTGATCTCAACCCCGATTTTTAATTTCAGTGCATCGTTATTTTTTGAGGATATCGGGAACGGATGAATTTTATATGCAACTCTTTCCGATGCATTCAACACACAATAATCAATTCCATTTAGTCGCAACTACAAAATTTTCAGAAAGCCGGTGATAGACCTAGTTTGTCAAACCACAATCAAATCCACCAATTCAAAGATAACATAACCAACATATTAGTGTAAAAAAATCCATCATATGAGAAGATTTTTCTCATATGATGGATTTTTTTTTTCGTTAGCAGCACTAAGAAATTGACTACTCCATGAATCCATAAGATACAAAATATATTTTTTATGAAAGACTGAAAATACTTTATTCAATTTTTTGTAAATTAAATGCTAATGAAACACCTAAAAATCTTTAACGCACTGTCTAATAAGTTAATATTTATAATCATGTTCTTTTTTGCTTATAAATTGCTCACCATTTGGCAAGATTTTTACTTCCTTTCAATGGTTATTCAGATTGACTTACTACTTCCCTTTCTACTCCGACAGGATTCTTGACGATTTGACGAGTTTTGCTTCTTTTTCTTTATATAGCCTCACAATAATTGCCGAATTATGAGTAGAAAATCCTCCCGATCCTTACTCAGAAAAATTATGCGATATAGATGATCGCATAATTTGTGACGGCGTAATAACTCTGTCCCAAAATTTAAATCAATCTGTTCCTCAAATATGATATTGCCGATTAAATGATTTGTAAAAAGTCGCCACAATTGTTCAGAAATTGTCTCTTGATGACAGCTGTAAAATTTTATCAATAAAAGGCCTACCTTTTCCGTAATACAACCAAAACCACTTAAGTAAAGATAGGGCCGAACTTCCGAGACATCGCATAATTTCGAAGTAACCATCGACTGGTGTAATTTTGTTGTTCGTTCCTTACATAAATCATATACCAATCAAAACAATGGGTTTAAATTTCTGGCAGTACTTGCTCAGTAGTACCAAACAGCCTTTAACCTGGAAAGTAACACAAAAATACCATCTATGCTTGTTTACTTTATGCGATGAAGAGAAACCATAAAAGAGATTGACATTATACTAAATTATCCGTTCAATTATTCTAACATATATAACACTGAGCAGCAGAATCAAGCAGCAGAAAGTTTCTAGAAAGATCAAAATATTAAAGAAGCAAACAAGCATTAAAAAAACTGCTGTCTATATGGACCATAAACATCAACTTGTAATAAAATGAAACGACTTGACGTCATCAATCATGGACGCGATATTTCTTGAAGTTGATGAGGCGGAAAAGAAATTAAGGAATTCTGAGTGTTTGCACGTCACTCATCCAAAAGTATCTCCAAAAGAACCGTACCCCCTATCTACTTGAAACAGATAAGATAGTACTTTTCATGCCTTTTTGATATGTGTGACAGGTAATATCAAATAATGTTCTGAAACACTCAAAATTTTTAAAAGGAACTCTGAAGAATTTAAGAAAAATTGTTGAAAATTTTCCCAGAAAACGGTGTGCACTTCTTTGATTGTCCTTTGATATCATTGTTCTTAATAATTTCCGTATGCTCATGTGTAGCGAGTAAAAGCAGGGTTGATCAAATCTGTCCCTGAATTTGTCACCTAAATCATTCACAAACATAGAACAGTGCATCATTTCTTATTCAAATGAGAAGTTTTACAATCGACGATTCTGCTTTGGCGCTTATGGAATTTGTACTTTTTGAAGAAACTCGGGAAAGAAGACTGAAGATGATCCATTTTCGAGAGAAATCTAGTAAGGTAACCAGCATATATATGCACTGACATCCATATTTGTACTTATATCAGAGAAAATATAAAGCAAAGTGAAGCGAAATATTTCAACTAAACTTCAGAAATATGAAGTGTGACAGATACGGTTAATATGTTAAATTATAATCCGAATTTAGTAACTTCAGAACCTATTCAATGGGAAGTTGAAAATTTCACATATATTTGGAATTATTTCTAGAGGAGTATTAAGCTTTATGTTTTCAATTCATGTTTACATCGATATACTCCTGTCTGTAAGGTGGATTTGCTTCATCTTACTAAGTACTTTAAAAATTACGGCTGAAATCGACGTGTATGAGGAGCATTTTTCTTTTTGGGTTTTTAAAAATATTTATAACGGTCAACATGAAGTGCATCTGCGATAATGATGATAGATCCGTCTTGATCTCCCCTCACTGAAATAAAAATGAATCATTCAGAGAATTACAACTTCTGGATAAAAAGAAACTCTCTCAGGAAAATGATGGCAAGTATTCCTGAAGACGGAGAAGTGAAGACTGTTGAAGATGGAAGGAATTAAGTAGTAGTGCAGCTGATGAAGGGAGTTAAAACATTTTAATGAAGTGAGGTAGGGATAAGTATTGTCAAGAGAGAAGGGTGAAAACAAGCGAAGCAGAGAATAACTGACATTAATTTATGGATAATTGGGAAGCGAAATATCGAGACCGTCTCAATCAACCATATCCCAGTAGTAGTTCAGTTCACCCACACCTGAGTCCGAAGGTCTCCGTTACATCCTTTATCGACGAGACTACCTCAGGCACCTGCACCAGTAGCAAGGTACAGAACTAAAGAGCACAAAACCAAACTTCAACTCTCGGATGAAATACGGCACGGCCTGCGTGGGTTTGTCTGCTGAAAGGATTTGAAGAGTTTGTCGGTTCCCGAGACACCTTGATGCGCTGTGATGTGTGTTACGTAAAAATTTCTTGGAAGAGCTTCTTGATATATAATTTAGTTGGTGGAATATAAGGCCGAGTTAAGCGTGACACAGTGAGTCGTATGTCGGTCACGTTGCAGACGACATTGGGCGATATCAAAATCGAATTGTATTGCGACTTATGCCCGAAAACGTGTGAAGTAAGTATTATTATTTGGTTACAAAGGCATTATGATATATTACATACAATTTCTACGTTTCACGTCCTCTTTTTCCAAGAAATATATTTTGAAGAGGAAGGATACGAGTAACTATGTTGCATAAATGATTACAAGTTTTCCACTGAATACTTGAGATTACCACACGGCTTTTTCTCTGTATATGATTACATATAATTATGTTAAGTAACGCGAAATCATTCTGCGATCCTATCATTAGTGACACTGTGGAAAGTTAAATTCGCCAGACTTATTTTATCTCTTTTTAACAGAAAATTGCCGATTTGCAGAATTTTTTGGCATTGTGTGCAAGTGGCTATTACAATAACTGCATTTTTCATCGTAATATCAAAGATTTTATGGTACAAACTGGTGATCCAACTGGTACAGGCAAAGGAGGTGACAGTATCTGGGGCGGACCAATTGAAGACGAATTAAACACAGCTTTGAAGGTATTTTTTTTATTGTGATGTAGCTCATGCTGTAAACAGCATTTGTTCACGTCCTCCATATGTTCTCTTTCATGCCGACATCATTCATTTTCGTCGTAATAGCTTTTGTGATCTTTTCTAAATAACTTAATTCCTGGGTTGTAGAAGTGAAAGGATGTTTTTAAATTCCAATATATCATTATAGCACGACGCCAGGGGCGTTGTGTCTATGGCTGGTAACGGACCAAATACAAGTCGATCACAATTTTTCATTACGTACTCAAAACATCCAACATTGGACTTGAAATATACTGTTTTCGGACGGTTTGTTTTGCTTTTATTTATAATTTTTACTTTGGATATGTGCAGATTTATTAATGTTTCTTTGTTTTTTGCAACATGTTTATTTTGCACAATGACTTGTTCTGTAAGTTTTTATGAGATGGGTCAAAAGATTCCTATCGTTCTTTCATTCCTTGTTTGTGCGATAATAGCTCTCAAAACCAATATTATTTGCAGTGTAATAGACGGGTTCGAGATACTAGACGAGTTGGAAAAAGTCAAAGTTGACGCCAAATATCGACCAGTTGTAGAACAGAAAATTCGAAATGTTGTCATCCACGCTAATCCGATTGCCGACATGGCAGTCACTTCCTAAAATCAGTTGTTTGAGTCGCGTTTCATCATACAATATTACACATTATCATTTTATTTTCGCTGCTTCACGGTCGATCAGAAATAAATCAGCAAGTTTTTATTTCACAAATAGGACTGTGTTGCGTCATTTAACCGATACAAAAGATGAGCAGCTGTTGAGATCCGACGAAAGATATCCGATCGAGGTAGAAAAACAAATTGATTTAGAAAGAATTCGAGAAATGCAAAAGTATTTCGAGCAGTATACTGAGGAGTATGTTGAGGTGGAAACGGAGTTGGAAACTTCGTGCAAGATTATGACGAAATCAGGTATATATTGTCTAACTTTTCACCTAAAATTCGATGCCAGTCAACACTGATTTAACATCTGAAAACGAATGATATGTTTTGAAACAAATGTGTTCTTGATAGCCGAAAAAGTGAAATTATGTTCCTCATATTGTACTGCTAACGATTTCTTTATTTTGTTCCATTACAAATATTTATTTAGCCTTACTATTTAGCCTTACTGCAAGGTGATATATACAGCGTTCAAGTTTTCTTTAACTGTTTTACTTTTTGCAGATCGTTTACGTCAACGTCTTGAACCTTTGCTAAACTTCGAACAAGATTTTTCATCAAGTCCGTTAAGTGTGGAAGAGATTGTGAACATACTGCGAGCCGAGTGCGCTGAAGATATCATTTGCATCAGAGTGCCTGTAACTGATACACGTGACAGATATGTTATTATTTGTACGCCTCATAACATAAGACACGGTGAAGCTATGATTCTCGCTGTACGGAAATGTTTCAAGCTTAAGACTAATCAGGTTTGTTGTACTATATCCCTGTCTTGGTTCAGTTTTTTTCACAAAGTGAAATATGAACTCAGTTTTAGGGACAGTTTTGTAATATTTTAAATAGGAATTAGTTTTGCTAAGTTTTTTTTTTTCTTTTTTTTTTACTGTCTTCATTGAAAGAATAATTTTATGTAAGTTTAAGATAAAGGAAATGCATATTTCTGGTTTTATTTTTGTTTGCTCTTTATTATGAATATTATATGTCTAACCATTCCATATTATAGTTTTTTCTTTTTCGTTTTTCCTTTTCTTTAAGATTCTTCCTGAAAGAAGAATTTTTGAATTTTAAGGTGCAGCCACCGAAAAAAGCGAAAGTTGGCCGGTGGTTGTGTTACGTGTTCGACGATATCTCACTACACATAATGACCCGTGAAGCGCGACTCAAATATGATCTTGAAAGCCTTTGGGGCATCGGATGGATGCAGACGTTAGAAGATGAAGGCGATGTTTCGAGTCTAGAATTTCCGATGCCTGTCTCTAGTTAAGCTGTTCTTTTCCCCTTTGTTCTGGTTTTTTTTTTTTTTTTTTTTTATTATGAGTGAAAGAGGAAAATTGCCTGATTCAGTCATTCAACATATTTCAATTTACTCCAACACTTTTCTAATTCAGTCCCATAGCGTAATGAATTGTCACACTAAAATGTCGGCATATTTCGTCATCATTTATCATTGATTTGATAAGTTGCAAGACTTATATTTTTGTGTTATTTCGCATTTTGCCATTTAATTTCAATACATTTCATCGTTAAACGTTAGAATTAAATTTGGTCATTTATTTGTTTACGAACGTATGTCAGTGGCAAAATGTATGTGTATTCAATAAAATCAATGAATTCAATACATTTAATATTATATTAAATTTCGGATTGTTGATTCAAGGAATTCAATTTTTCGGAAACGGAACAATATAGCAATATAAATCTGAATCATCGGATTTGATTTTAAAATATATAAATGGAAAATCTGTTTTGTTCAGCTGAATAATATGACAGATAAGATCATTGTTTAGTTAATGCCCGCCTCGTTGCCTTCTGGATAATTCCGCAATTCCACTTCATAAGTTTAATATCATTTTCTTCCTTCCCACATCTCTGCCTATTTCTGTAATGGAAACAGTGAATTGAAGATTAAACGAAATTTTTCACTACGCTTCACTTCCTTTTGCTGGCACTTCAATATGATTACTTCCGCCTTTGTCAAATACATTGGAACATTGGAAGTTGACAGTTTCAAGTGTGAATTGTGTATGCAAAGAGAAACAGAGAGGACTGTAGGAATGAAAGAGATTCACACATTTATTCACTTCGAGAATGCGCTGATTGTTTTGATCCAAGTCTCAGGCCATACTCCAAAGGACCAATCTTAAATAATTTCTTTTAATCTGATGTCACGGTTTTGTAGCTGTGTTTCTCCCAGAACAGTTATTTTAATTGTAGCTTAAAATTAATCAGAATTATTATACATGTCGAATTGATATTTGATCAATATCAAAATTTGCAACATTAGTTTGGGTGTTTAATTGATTGATAGGGCGATGAGAATGACAGTCATTGTTACATTTCTCCATCAGTGACCAAAAAAGTACTGCCAAGACTTAATCCTTTTTTTTAATATAATTGGACTTAACTCGTTACTTCGGAATCTTTTTTGATATAATTTAACTTAGCACAATGGTATATGACTTCTGATCAAGACATTTCTCCTTCCTTTTTTTGGAATTCGTTTTGGTTTCAATAAAAGGTTTTGAATAAGTTCTTTCATTCCATAAATTTATTGAAAGTGATATGATCATCACAACGACAGATGACCAAACTCATGTTATCCTAGTCATGTCAATTGAATGAACGATTTTAACTGGCTAATTATTAATGACCATTGGATTTATTTGTGGAGAATAGGTTGAATAATTTGATTTCAGTGCTTAACTTTCGAAGTAACAGCAATCGGTAAAAGATCTCATCATCAAAAAATCATCAGAAAAAACAGTTTTTCTGACCGGTTTTCAAGACCACTTATTTCTCTAAGGATTCTGAATTTCATGCTGCTAATTTAAAACAAAATTTCTTACAAAAAATAAATCTTTTCGCATGAAACAAAAAATGCTATTGTTGCAGCAAAGAGTACTAAAAGTAATTGAATTGTGTATACAATGAATTAGTTTATTTTCTATTCGTTTATCCATCTGTATATTATGGAATCCTCAGGAAGGTTGGTTTTTACCCGGGATCTCACACGACATTTTGCATCATTGTTGAAAAAATTTCCTTTGATGCAAGAATATTTGGATTTGGATTGAGATCGAGAAATAACTTTCCTTCTTCTGAATGCTAGTTTGATTGCTGCTATGACTATTTTAGTCGGATATCAACTTGATATAAGGTCGTGATTCATTGACATCATTTAACCTTCGTATATTTGTCGAATGACTGGATACTTCTCATCTATCGTCAGTATGAACGAGACAAAAGCAATCTCACCAAAATGTCTTACTTGTAATGTCAGTCATCAAGAAAACATCATAAATCGAATCTGCTTAAAATCCGTATTATTTATCCAAAAAAAGAAAAAATTAGGGAAAAATTTACGTCCTTCCAAAAATTAATTGAAACCGAAATAAACATCATTAAAAAGTTGATAGCTCCCAGGTTTTCGAAAGAACCTTCTTCCATTAGTTCGTTTTCGAATATACCTTATCCCTCTGCCCAATTTAATTCCACCTTTATCATCTCGCTATTGTCAATTCAACTGTCGCTACTTCCTAACAAGCATTCATAACAGTTTTCATTTCCTGTCAGTGTTCGTAAAATCTTCCATCCCTTATTTCCTTCATTTCTCCTTTTCCTCGGTTTTTGCGAAATTCTATTCTCTTTTTCTCGTTTCATTATTATTTTGCTTTTAAAACTCGGCTCGATCGTTATCCGTATTCCATTTTTTTTAATCTATAATTCTCGAACGAATTTAGTTTCTAAAGTGTTTTAAAATTGAAATCGAGTAATGTTTGTTATATGGACCAAACCAAGAATTAGAACAACTGACAAAACATTGCCTTCAGTTACAATAATATAAAAGTGTTATCACCAACTGAATCCTTGTAGACTTCGGGTAGTAGCAGAAAACTGACACTGAAATCTTCCACTTCTTTCGTCTTTGCATTTCTCTTTGTCACAAATTTCCATTTGTATGAGTAATGACTGCAAACTGATACTGCGTAGTCAAAGTAACGACAACTGATTGTTTCAACACTTTATCGTTTTATATGAAATCATTTTGATCTCTCATCCCTTCATCGTGTCATGAATGGCAATACGAGAGGAATGTGCATGTCACCAAAATACAAAAGTTGGAATTACTTGCAACTGAAAGACTGCCATTACTGTCTCTCATACTTTTACAAGGAATTCCGTCCCACAAATAATTTTGTTTTGTTTTTGTTAATTTCACTGTATTATTAGTAATCTCATCAGATTGATTTCATTTACTTTACTAATCTTATCAAAAATCTTTACACACTTTCCACCATGTGATTCACTTCATGTGCGTTTGTAAATTCTTGATTTTCTTGAATACATGGCCACAACATCTTCAGGTGGTTGGCATAGATGAGTGTGTAATCTTGAACGTTGGAGGAATGAAACATAAAACGTGCCAGGCAACAATGAAGAAAATTCCGGCTACACGTCTCTCACGTTTAACGCTATCAGTTACTAATTTCGATCCATTGCTCAATGAATACTTCTTTGACCGGCTACTTGGTTGTTTTTTTTTTTCAAGTATGCTTTAAACAATGGAATAAAATGTCCCATTTTCAATAACTGGCCACATTTAAGCCTTTTTTAGACACAGTTTCCAACTTATTTTCTATTTTTAACCGAATATGTTCATTTCATATAGAATTTGTTTTTTACTGTGGCAAATAAATTGAATGCTTTTTTCCCTAAAAAACTTTGAAATGAATGTAAAAATGTGCTCATCGATAAAAGGCGCATATTTCATGAGTTTTATTTGGTTGATTTCATATCACTTATTAAGTTTTACTATTTAATCAAATGTTCTTTTATATTTATCTTCTTGAAGTATCGGTGGGTAAAGTACCAAACAAGTACCTGAAATCTCTATTACTCAAGAAATATTAAGTTGTGTTCTATTTATATATCTATTTTTGTGTACAGCATGTTGTACGTGATAAGAATACCTATATCGGATTTCTGAAAATGATATCAGTTCACAAACATATATAATCTGTTATCTTTTATTTTCCTATTTTTATTGTTTATCATTTTACTGTACTTTACTCCTATTATTTATTCCTTTCTCGATTCCCTTAAAATTGTCCAAATCAAACTTAAAACTTAAAACAGTTAATTGCGTCCAGAATTTTCATTTCTTAACCAGTAAACAAAATGATTTATTAAGTAGAAGTAATATCTCAACTAACCATGATTGTGATAAGTTAATGAAGTAAGTAATGCATTTCAAATTCCTTCTTCATGTTATCTTTATAATGAAATTTTTTAGAATTTAGTAGATATTCTACTTCGAATCCTTTGTAACGAAGCACATGTCTGATCATTAAAACTTAAAAATAATTGTTACTGCTAAACTTTTTCAACAATTGTTTGTTACAGATATTAAATTATTACCGCACGGGTAAATTGCACTATCCCATTGACGTGTGCGGCCACTTTTCGAGGAAGAACTGGAATACTAGGGTCTGGATTCGAATCAGATTCACCTTGTTGCTGAATGACACACACGCGATACAGGTTAAATGATAGAAACGCCTTCCTAAATGATCTCCGAAGATGCAAGCAATCATTAAAAAGAGTAAGTGGTATCGAAGGAAGATCACAAAAATTTAATTTAGTAAGTGAAACAGAAGCGGTGACAGCTGCAACCCTTATTTTCCTTGGAAGTTCAAGACTTCCCAAATTTATTATCGAAATTAAAACATGGTTTTGCGATCGAAGGATTTGCAGAAATACTCAAGCAACGCTGGCAGTTTTGGATGCATTAGATAATGACCTTAACAAGCATAATGACCCTGACGCACGTGAACAGAGTATGGTGAAAAAATTTGGCTGGGAAGAGGATTATGTTCAAGGTCGTGTAACTTTTTGGATGAAAGTAAGGCGTAATGTATGGGCATTATTTGATGAACCTTATTTATCACAAGCAGCAAAGGTATGGTTGATTGATTTCTGGGTGAAGAAGCCTCTTCAGCAGTTTGACCTTTGGCTACTATTTCGTATTTAGAGATATGTGATAAATTATACTAGATTAACAGGGTGTTACTTTACTGTTGCGCACTTGCAAATGCAAGTGATTAGAACGAATGATTCTGCGTAATCAACTGACCTATTTCAAATAAATCTAACGAATTGTCAATTTGCATATTTCAGACAATATAATCGATATCAATATGTTTTATAGTGATTAGCATAATATCATTCTGCATGAAAACCCACCTAATTTTCAGTCAGGGTGAGGTTTTTTTTTTTTTTTGTGGTTATGATCGCTTCTATACAATCCAGTAATCATAATTGAATAATAGCTATTTTATTAATTACTGGTGATGTAACACTTAAGGTAGCGATACCTATGGGTAGCGCTTTTCCTTTACCAACACTGCTACCATAGATTATTTATTATTATTATTGTTATTATTATTATTGTATTTCCATTTTTATTGAAAAAGGGAAAAGAAAAAGCGAAAGCTTATGTCAGTTAAATACGACTTTCAAATTGAATACCTTTGTAATTTACAGTTTATATTTGAAATAGTTACGAGATTTATATTTTGCCCAAATAGATGGCATTAACAACATCGATTTCGTTGGTTCAAAACTTTTTTTTTTGTTAAATCTTCTACTTCTGCATGAGAATCACCAGTCTTTCGGCACCGAAGCATACCGAGTTCGAATGTCTTTAAGTGCCTTAACTAACCCACTAAACTCAGTCATTTGTAAGTGATCTATTGAAATTTGGCTAATTATTCAGTTGTGAGCGACTCTCCATAAAATAGTACATTTCTGGTTTTACTATTTCGTTATTAAAGGTCGCAATGCTCACTTTTTACCTGGACATTGTAAAAACATTGTTTCAGTGTGTGTATTCGAGAGAAAAGCGTTTTCCATGATCCTTTCGGTACGACTGTTCAGGCTGTCACCGTACAAATACTCGTTCAGACATTCCGTGCTTCCGCCAGTTAACTTTTGCCCTTTCTTTTTTCTTCTTTTCAATTTTTTGCTATCAAAATTCATTTCCAACAATTTGTACAAATGAAAAAAGATATTACTTATGTAGGACGGTTGTCATATCGTGTGACACCGGGATAGTCTAACTGTGGAACCATTTCAGTCGCAAGCTATTAACTCTAGATAACTGTTATAATTGTGAAAAAGAAAGTAACTTGAATCCTAAGAATTTCTTCTAAGAAATTTCCTTTTCAGTCCTTTTTTGTTGTGCTTGGAATTGTAATCTTTGCAATATTAATGTACTACACGGAAAAACTGGAAAATGATCCCGAACGTTAGTATACCATTCAGCTTGTGATGGACGATATGTACAATGACAGCAGTTGGTACCACCACATTCCATCCGGTGCCACTTTACATTTTATATGAATGAGTAATTTTTCCAAGTTGATTATGGTGACATGACACTGCGTACCTCACTGGGTCATTTGGTAGGAAGTTTATGTGCTGTGATAATGTACTACCTATTGCTGTGTTTTATTTTCTCATATAGAAGCCCAAGGGAAATTATCAAGGAAACGCCGACATATATTACTCGCTGAAGAGGTACTGGTTCTTTCCATTGCAAATATAATCTAGTCTAATCAGTGGGATGTTGTAATAGGCAATTTTATAGTTCCTAGCATTAAGATATTTATGGTAACAAATTTGTTTTTTTGGTAATTCAATCAGTTCAATTGAAGGAAAATGTTCTAAATTTCATGAAGATAAAACTGAATTAAAAATTAAAACTGGAGGATGGAGAGCACACACTAATTCATCAAACTAATGATTTAAGGTTTGTATACAAGTGAGTCCAACTAGAAACTTCTCTGATGAAACATCCTTGGGCAATAATGTCACCAATGTTACCATCACTTCCTCAGAATGGTTTTAATTTCTTGAAATATTTCAAAATTTGAAACGATTAAAGTGATAAGAAGAAAGACCTAACTGTCGCGCTGGCGATTGCTTATGTAAAGTCAAAGGACAATTATATCCAATAAGCAGTAGTTGCAGCAACTTCATTATAATAAATGTGTCATTTTGAAATGGCAACCAAAATAAAAAAAAAAAATCTGTTTCCAATTTTTCTTTAAATTCCAACAATTTAATGAGAAAATATTTTCCTTTCAAGAATCGAGTCGAAGAATTTCTTTCTTATTTAAAGCAAATTTTTTAATAGTTAAATAGAAAAACGTTCCTCAAATTTCCTGTTAAATGATTAAATGAAAATCTTTTCTCTTACTTTTGATGTTTTGGAAATGCTAACTTCGTTTGGTAAAGAATTCAAAGTGCAAGAAGCTGGCTTGTAGTAATTTTACGAGGAAAAGCTGAAGTTTTATTTTCTTTGTGTATTTTAACTGTACTCTTTTCTTCTTTTTCACATCAACGTCATAGGTAATCTGAAGTATCGAAAGGGAATTAAACACGTAAAAATTGGTTGAAATTGGGAAAAGCATCATTAACTTATTATAAATTCATCGATCATAGATAAATGTAACCAGGAAACGGAACATTAATTGTTAATCCATCGTTGGTATGCATCGTAAGTTCCATTTGTAAATATCTACAAATTTTAATATTGCTTTGAAATCAACTGATCGTACTTTAAAATTTGCATTTGATAATTAATAAAATATCATAATTTCACTTGAAACGCGACATCTAATTAACCTACCAAAGTGAGAAATCAACAAAACATTTAGGATCATTGTTGTTATTTATTTGCTTACTTAATTGATTAAAGTTATCTTCCAAGGTCATGCTTCCCATAAATGTAATTTAATTTATTTCTTTAGAAACCACTCTTGTCTTCTTCCTGTTTTCATTCTATCTGACCTTGTTGGGTGCTTTTATCTGCTAATCTTTTAATGATGGAAATTTTCTTAATGACAAAAATTGCGGTTTTTACCGAACTTACCACTTCAGTTACCCACGGAAAGATGAGTTTTGTTGATAGGACCGCAACGAACAGTATTCAATCCAATACCATGTTAGTGCGCATGTCAGCAATGTATAAAATTTTTCCTAAAAGTATAAGAACTTTCGAAACTTCCAGTTTTAAAATATCAGCAAATTTACTTTTCATCAATAAACTGATCGTTCATTAAAACGCCTTCTTGCAGTAGAAGCAGTTCAGTTATTACATGAGTAATCAGGTAGATGTCAAATTAGGACTCTGCCCTCCCCTGTGGATGCTACCAAACTGTTATATATGCTAAGAAATAGTGAGAAAATTTGTTTCCTTGATCGTTCACCTGTTTATTTTTACATTTAGCACTTCAAATTTTAAAGTATTATAATCTACGATATGATCGAGGGATGAAATCACTAAGTAAGCTTACTTTCATGTCTCGAAAACGTGCGCTTATGTATCTCATTCAAGAATTACGAATGTTAACGCAACCCAACCAAAATAATACCCAACGTCAGCACAATTTGATGTACTTACTTTACTTACAGACGTGCGAACCTAATGCTACTAATTATTTAGCTTATTTAGGAAAGTTTATCGAGAAGCCATTATCAAAATAGGAAAACTAAACCGATAGTAGGCATCCTTTACACTGCACAGGTGGAACAGGGTTAGGGTAGTAGTACAGACGAGTACGAGCGCGATTATACATACTACCATAAATAAATGATTGAATATGAACACACATTTCGAGTACATTTCAGTTCAATATTATTCGGGAAGCAACCAATGGAAAACCCAATGCAAATCAATCCAAGAGTCTGAAAATCAATTGAGACGAATGATTGATAGGGCAAATACTATGCTCTCTGATAATTAATACGCTCTTTAGTAGTTAAGCAATTATCAAAATCTTGGACGCTGTTTAACAAATTACGCACGCAACACTATTCCGGAATTGTATGCCGCAGAAGATCAGACTGCAATTGACAAGTCATGAACAGCAAGTAAACCAACCTGTGGAAAATTCCTCATGTCAATTGCTTAATTGCTTACCTAATTATTTTGATCCATCTGCTGATTAAGTTAATTCTCACACAGCTATTCAGCACATTTTTATTAAAACTGATCACTGATAAAGTAAAATAAAATGAATTCATTTTTATACGTTTCCAGCAATCATTTCCACTTCATCATTTTATTTCATCGGTTCTTCTTATCAGTGAACGGTATAAACAATAACTAATGAATCTATTCCGCACCTCAACAGATGTGGTAAGATCTAATTAATAAGTGTAAGACTCGGGAGTCATTAGAAATTAAATAGTTATGGGATAATTTGATTTGAGAAAAGCGTGGACAATTGTAACACACCCTATCCCTATTGATCATGGATTTACCGCCGATCCACCCGTCGGAATCTCCGTGGCTTGATGGTATCAGTTCGCTGTCTTTTTGACGTATGAAATAAATATCACTAACACTTACGAGTTCCAGCACTTTCAGCAGATTTGACGTCTCCTTGAAGAAGCACCGATGCCAATGCTATCATCCTTCCTCAATTAACGTTCAACACTAATGCTCTTAACAACTTCATATATCGTACGTTTATCGATGAATAATTGAAATACGTATGTCTGATTTATTAAAATACACACATATATATATATATATACATACATCAAATTCACCACGTCATTTATCGGTGAACCCTATATATAAGCAAAAAAAGAAAGTACGTGACATGACGTAAATTGCAACGAAATATGATCCATAAATCTTTCAATTTCATCGATGCTTCGGAATAATATTTTTGGTTTCTAGGAAATTCTGCATATCTCTTTTGGCTGAAAAGAAGCAAAACTCGCATCTCGTCGAAATTCAACGGTCATTTTAGAGTAATTAGTTCTTATATATGAATGCATGGACTGTAGAAAAGGTTTTATTAGTGATTTGATCCTATTCGTTGTTATCGAATAATGAATGCATATTTCGATGACAGATCTTTCGTTATTAGTTATTTGAGGCTTATAGTTTCAAAAGCGCTCATTCCATATTTAATCATTTGAGTAAATACTATTTTATATTTTTTTTTATTCCGATAGATAGAAGTGAAAAATTAACTTAATAGTTATGTTGCCGCAGTGAAATAATTAATAAGTCAGAAGGATTTGAAATCGACGGAGAGTTCTTCGTAATTTGAAAATTGTTTTTGACATGCAGCTTTAATAACTAACTTGTGCAATTGTTACTGATGTCTTGGTATAATAAACAACAGCAAACAAAAGGCCTTGCCTCGTCCGATATCACTTCATCCATATCGCTTAATTAGATTTACTGCTGAAATATTTAATTACTATATGAAATATTTAATTACTCACGGAATTATTTGTTTACATGACAGTATTGACTAAACATTTCACGTTGAGACAATTCTCACGTCACTCCGATTACCATTAAAATACCCATCAATTGGTTCAACTAGTAAGAGTAACTGAAAGAATGAAGTGGAAGCGTGGCCAATTCTACTTATAAAAAATTGTTGAACCAAGTGCTCCTCACCTTTTTTGTGGATGCAGTTTATCAAACGGGTCATGCGTCATCATCGGTAGTGACGTAAACATACGTTTTACATGGTTTGAAGAAAATTTTGAGGTAAATTCACCGAGACAATAAACGAAAATTCTCTAATTCCACCTGATGCATATAAAAAAATTTTTTTTTATTTTTTTTATTTATATGATCCGATAATAGAGATACCGTACCGGCGCAAATGGTTCTTTTTATAAACGTTTGCCGATCTGCAAAATGACTTTTTCGAAGCAGTGCATTTGACAATGATAGCTGCAAGGAATAAAACTGGAATAATCAGATGTCATCTTAATAGATTGAAGTATTCCTTTCGTTCTGAAGTTACAATGTCACATACCACGTACGGATCAAGCATTCATCCCTTCAATATAATCCAACTTCTGCTCTATCTCGCTGGTGAAATATTCAGGACGTGTTTTGGCGGAATCTTTATTGAGGATACAGTTCGATCTCGTATATTCATGGAAATGTATTACTGAACGATACGTGAAACCCAGCACTTCCTGCACATACAAATAATCAATATTTTACGACAAAAATTTAATTTCAACTCTTGATTTTCGCATCTGCCAAGACACGATAATGATTTGGAACTGTACACGTCATTAGTAGTATATCGCGAAATATACGGAAGTTGTCTGATTTATTAAGATAGACCTGATAACATATTTTTGAGAAGTAAAGTAACCACTATAACTTAGTGCGAATTTCAGTTACTGTGTAAAAAAATTCAACTTCACAAATGGCGTTATTATCGAATTTTTAATTCCATTGATCGTAAACACATTTCGATACAGTAATTATGTGATGAAGCATCGACCACAGCGGTTGCGTGTCCGACAAGTATGTATTGAGGTACACGACGCAAAATGACTGCGCAGTTCCTGTGCACCAGATCTATGAAAAAATCTTTTTAATGTTCAAATCACCTAAAATCTGATGTTTTCATCAAACTCTTAGGTTTTGTGGATATGAAGTTCTAGCGCTGGATTAGAAATATATTTGAATCCTGGGAATCAACAATCACATCGATTATGTAGGTATTAAATTGCTACCGTATATGCAGATCTTTTCGAAATATACCACATCCTTATTTGGAATATAGTCAGCATTTACAGTTGGACTAATTGATGTATTGAATAAAATGCACCGTTTATTGATCCGGTCATACTGGGCACTGCGACACTTAATTGGTAATAGACTTCCTCTACTCCGCTAGAAAACGAAATTGAAAGAGAAATTTCCAAATCGCAACCTTTTCGATTAATGTGATTTTACTGTATGCAGTTTTGTAGTCATAGAGTGAATCATAAAGGTAATTGCAGAGAATCTGTCTCTTTAAAATAATGGAAAAAGTGTTACCTTATTATTGGCGCATGTATATAGGCATACATCCGGCATGTCTATCTGAAATGTTGCTGGGCCCTCGTCAATCGCTTGAACACCATCGGTCGCTCAATATAAGTCGAAAAACCAGGTGCACAATTTGATTATGTTTTGTAATAATATGTTCTAAAATTTTGTGTTTATTTCTCAAGGATATAAACTTAATCGCATCCTCTTTTGCTTTTATGATAATAGGTGTAGAGCTCTCCATTTTTGTGGCCTCTTATCATCTATCTCGAAATTATGATCATTTCTATAATTAAAGAGGAAGCAAAGTGTAAAAAGAACCGACACCACCATCAAAAAGCGGCGATAAGCATACCTAATGCACTGTTGGATAGACCGGCAGCAGCCCGGAAATGATGCTGTTGTTCGTTTCTGGGAGAGTAGTAGTAAAGTGCTGATGCTTTCGATTTGGATGTATTCACTATTGACTTATTGCCTCTCTCCACGGACTTTCCCCGTTCACCTACATTGGTAGTCTTTTTGTCACTCGGTGCAATATGTGCTGGCCGCTCGGAAGTAACGTCCCCAGTTACGTAACTCGGTAGCCCCGAGTTACAATGATCGCTTAGGAGTACGAGGGAGCCAATTGCTGGTGTTATGGATGGTACGCATGATTTCCTTCTAAAATGCAATCCCTTTCGTTGCTTCTTATTGAATAATATGTTATCAGTGCAATGATTCATCTTAATGATAACAAAGTGGTAACAATGCATGCCGATAGCAAGAAAACACACAAGGATAGTGATAATAAACTGAAGTAGAATTTCTGTCTTCTCCTACGATCTCAATTTTCGTCGTCATAATGCGACGTCCTGAAAATGCATGATATACGAACTGCTCATAATCACTTAAATCGAACTGCAGTATTCATTAGTAGATTGATTAAAAATGGTAACAAAAAAAGTACAGAACGATCTGCTCTGGAAATCTCAATAAAAATGATAGAAGTAATGTCAGAGGTCATGGATGATTAGGTTGAACATCTCACCGTGACTGTTTACTCCAAACTTATCTTCCCACCTTGGAGAATTTCTAAGAAGTAAAAAATTGAAAATTACCTTTTTGCCAAGAATGTTTTCGTTGTAATGTAACCAGAATACTATACAATTCACATTCTTCCCTGGAAGAACTTCCGGGTAATTAATGCAGATTATAGTGCGGTACAGTTATGACTTGGGAATTTATTAGAACCATTAAAAAAATGGTTCGCAATGTCAGTTATCAAATTATCCCTTTCAATTCATAATCAAAAGTAATTGAAATTGGTGGAGGTAACAAGTACTTGGATCTTTTCTAATGCTTGTATATCATTTTGAACATTCCTCGCGACTGAACTGAAAGTCAGAAAGCAGAACAGCAATTGCTGACTGATTGAAAGTTGCTGCTGGAACAACTGCTGATCAAATGAAATTTGACGATTCACGCAGTCTATCAAATAACACAGTAAAAGTGTTCAATTCTTGACGACCTCATTCTGTTGTATTGACATGTTCGGGCGGACACTTTCAAGCACAGATCACCACATTGATGCTCGTTGAGTGGAAGACGTCGCTCGTAAGCAGTAGCACACGTAATTCGTAAATTGGGATATGTCTGGATGCATAATTCAGCTTTTTTACCTAGAAGAAAATTAAGACAAATGGACTTTTAAATAATTTCTTAAGACATAAAATAATTAGTGAAGGAGGAAGCGGTAATTAGAAGTGAGAAGTAATAATTACGATCTTCTTTTCAGGGACGTCATTAAACGTCAAAGACAGTTCTTGACTGCTGTAAGAGAAGGAAATGAGGTTTAGTATTAAAATGATCTTACCAGCAAGAGTGTTCAGAGTGAGAAGTGAGGGCGATAGAGAAAATGGATGAATCATGACGAAATGTGAGATGGAATTGTAATTGTTGGCTGTGATCTTTTTGGGTCAATCTAGGCTTACTCCATTTTCATACATAGACTCTGTTTATTATGACTGATTGAATGGCACAGAATAGCCTTTGAAGAGATGTCGAGACTTAGAGTTGTCACACTTTCAGGCGCAATTTTTATTCTAAAAAAAAAAAAAATATTGCTCTTGTGGAATGGCACGCAACGATATATGATTGGTTTGTTGGGATTGGGAAAACCAAGAGACTGAACTGGGAAGGGAGGGTAAGGGTATGTAGGACAATACACCTGACAGTGACGAGACAGATTGCTCAAGCATTGTTTGTGGGTAAAGGTGCAGCACAGAGCGCTGGCTCAAATTGCTGGAATGAAATGCAGTTGTTAATTAACAAGTAAGTAAGCTTTTTCATTGCATCGACAAAGAGTAAATTATTAAAATGGATTCAATTCAATTATAAGAACAGACTGCTTGTGCAAGAGGGGAGAGCTGGAAGAAGAAAGAAGGCGAGAAAGGTTAAGGCTTGTAGGAAAGGAGAGAGAGAAATGTCTGATCCCTTAAATTTTTAAAACTCGAATTTAAATTAGAAACTTTCTAGTCTTATCATCATTTTTAAATTTTCGACATTTGTTTGTTTTTTTTTTTTAAAAAAAAAACAGCTTTTTTCATTAACTTCATTTTTGCAAATGCGCTTGTAGATGGGCGCACTAATGGTTAGTAGGTTTAATAGACGGTGTTAATTAATTAAATGATTGGATTCTCGCCAAAATTGGCTTGGAACTAATCTTTTAGCTGGGGATTCCCCCATAATTAACAGAAAGAAAATGAGAAATCGAAAGAGATAGGAATCAAGGTCTCATGGAAATAAGATATTTCATTCAAAACGAAAAAACTTGTACCTATCGGTCCGAAATGAAAAAATGGGAAATTCTCGTCAGTTCCCTAACTTTGAAACAAAATTAGTTTTAAACAACATCTTCAAAATTTTTGATTTGTCTAAAATTCATTTGTCTCTACAAGGTCGATTTGCAGGGAATTCCTTCGTTGCCCTCTTGCGCATCAAAGAACATCGTCAACGAACGCATCGCAGGGAACTCTGTGAACACTTCGTCGTGACGTTGAATGATTTTAAAATTAATTAAAAACAGATGTTCAATGGTGAATATGGATAACATTAGCTAAGTTGAAACAAATAGACCTCATTACGTCAGACAATTCGCTTCCCAACTTACTACTGCATCATTGCGCTTTCCTTTTATTTTTTTTATTCCAAACTTCAGAAAACAAACAATAAAAGTGTAGGGAGAGAGCACTTACTGTAAAGTAGCTAAGTGAAACAAACAGACCTCATTACGTCAGATAACTTTTCTTTTCCGGATTCGTCAAAGGTGTAACGGAAAGAGATCGAAGAAATCGAAGATGTGCGATTCGACCCTTTTATGTTATATGTATACATCATATTTCCATCCTCAGAATTTTCACTATTTTTCAGTTCAAAAGTGTTATGGAAATGAAATGCTCAATAAAATAATTTCTTCTCCAAACTGAAAAAAGTTTACATTTTAATCGCTTTCTTTTGTCATTAGGAATTGTTGTCCCTCTCACTGTTGTCATGCAGTAGCGCTCTGATTTATGTTACCAACTGTCTCATAGATAAAGCCCGAAGTTATATAATACATTTGAGCGAACATTGATTATCTTAAACATAAACACTGTTGCAATTAGTAATTTATCATTGCATTCTTCACATAGATAATTTTCCGGCATAGTAAATGCGGTCCTTCCCATTCTTCAGAAGAGTAAGAGTCAGGATGAGAAGCCATCCTTCAGCAAGTCACAAAAAAGATTTCTGACTTGCAAATTTTGCATTATGTTTCAATAATCACACCTCCACTCCACTTGTTTTCCGACCCGGTCTTTAACCTTATACTCCCGGTTTGTCCCGTGGATTACTTAATTGCAATATTACTAATTCCTCAATTAGTTTTTGTACATTGTAAAACAAGATGAATTTAGCTGTAAAATTCGTTTCCAGTTTTCAATTAACTGAAATGCTCTTTCGTTGTTTCATCTCCTAACAGTCGCTTCGACTTGGACTTCCTCTCTCCTCTTTCAAGCTTGTTTTCTTTGATAAGTCAAGTTGATTGATCACTTCAACAAGTCACTCACGTGAACTCAGCCCTATTCTTCACGCATCTATCTCCAACTTTATTGACTTCTCCTTTAGTTAGCATCCACGCGCCTTGCTAACATATACGACATCATCATCATTCTCTATTTTGCTCTAATCTTTGCCATTGCGAGGTAAAGGATATTTGAGTTATATACTGCTTTGCTAGGATAATTTTCTAAGATGATCACTGACTTGCATGGCGTATTTGTCAAGTGTTCCATCGGACTATGATCATGTTTTCTGCTGTCACTCAACAAGTCGAATATTTCAAAGAGTGTTTAAATTGATTGTTTACTTTATTTGTTTAAATTTTTTTTTTTTTTTTTTTGATTGTTCACTTTATTGTGTTCACTTTATTCCTTTTCCGGAGGACTAAACCCATAGGAGACTCACTATTCATATCCATTTATAAGTTCCTTTTCTGGATTAACTAATTCGGTGATGTGCAAAAAGCTTGGGGAAGGCAAAAATCCGTAGATGCTGAACTTTTGGAAAATCAGAAGAACATATTGATTTAGCTTGCCACAAAATGGTTAGAATGAGTTAATGGATGCGCAACCGGATCCGGTTAATACTCATCACCTCAAGTGACATTCAAGTGACATTCATACTATCAATTTCTATTGCTTTTTTGTTTCCGCCTCACCATAAAATAAATTGGTTTCTCTGCAGAAATGAACTCAGTGCCAAATGCTGAGTTGCTGCTCTTTTCTGGAATATCTGCTCCTTCCGCAATAAAATTGTTTAACTGTCTGATCACAGAATTTGACTCATTAATGTTTCCTTAAAGCAAATATTGAAAGAAATACTGTGCCATCAGTTTTCTTTAAACTTTCAAATTGTTTCTGTTAAAGTCGAATGTTTGAATTTCAAACTTCACAAACTTTTCCGGAAATGGAATCCTAATTTGCTGAGATTTCAGGACAAACAGTTTTCACTGCTTTTAGAATTTAATTTGGTTAAATGAAGCACATAAATGTAAATTTAGCCTAGTTTTCAGGTTATTGAATACTATTAATTCTGTTTTTAATCTGCAATATTATGACTCCCACTCATTTTGATTCCCCCAAAATACAGATGGGGAAAAACTAATTATTTGCATTCTTAAAACAACAGAAATCTGGAAATATTTTCTAGATCTGACAGAAAATGGCAGAAAATTACGTCGACGTCGTATTCAGATTCCTTCAAATGTGGTCTTCGATCGGAGAGATTTTACAATACGAAAATCTTTACACAGTCAGGAAGGCCTCTTTTCAGGATGACTTATAAGAGACTTTGAGAGGCAAATAGATGACTGCTTTATTTGGAAAAGTAGGGAGGGAAGAGGGAAAGAGGGACAACGAAAGAAATGCAAGAATTCATAGGAGTAATGTGAGCGGACGGAAACCGTGTGTGTTTCAGGAAAATCTTGTGCAGTGTGTGTCTATGGAAAGTTAGTGAAGAGGGGAACTGGTCGGCATCAGATGTTACCTCTACCGTTTAATCAAACAGACAAAAATTCCTCGTACACTAGGCTTTTGGCATGTGCTTACGACGTCTCTATTCGATATAGTTTGGAATCCCCTCTCCATCGAATGATCGACAAAATATATAATGGTAAAGCCTTGAGCTAACTCTCTCTCTCCTCTCGGAGATGTCCTTATCAGTAAAACATTTGACCCTTGTGATAACTTCTGCTCTTTCAATCAGTTCGCTTTAACTTCAGATTTTTCTATGTTTGCTTTCCCGATGCTTTCTTCATGAAGAGGTAAACGAAAAGATGAAATGTTGGTCGGGGACGGACAATGTGTCACTCATCCTACGTATCAGTCACTACCGCAGCACTGTTTCCATACGAAACCATGTCCTAAGGTCATTTCAGGAGAAAAAGCCTAATCTAAAACGCACTTAGCTTTGGTGCAGTCATAAATAAAAGAGTATAAAAGTGAACAATTATAGGAGAAAGACAGTGAGTTGCTGGCGTATTGTAGTAGGAATACTATCCGATGTTCTGAAAATGGGCTGTTGCCTACCCTTGTCCGCACCTCTGTTTAAAATTGCGTAAGGTGCTGATGCTTGTCCTGCTTGGACAGTCACCGCGTTGTGCTGCCAGGGCGCTGATGACAGGGTGATTGGTGGTGACAGCGGTAAATTAATGCATAGATGGTTATCAGAAATGTGATGTGATATCTGATACCACTACTAGAAGTAGCAATCTCTGAGTCACTGATAAGGGGAGAGAGATGTGAACCCTGGACCTAGGTAAGAACGAGTGAAGCTTTTCATCTAAACCTAAAGTAGGAAGAAGTGACTGGGAGAGACAGCAAGGTGAAACTTGGAAGGAGGGAGATTGGAGGACAAGAGAGGAACGATGGATGTAGATGAGACACCACATATTTTTTTTGAAAATGCTGTTTGAAAGCACTATGTTAATTTATGATCAATAACAAATTCTTCCTCCCTTCCCCTCCTTGCCTTCTCTCTCTTTCTCTTCCTCTCTGATGACAAAGACAAATACTGAGAGAGAGGGAGAGAGGGATGAGTGGCAAAGTAGATATAAACAAATTTAGATGGGGCCTGACGTCTTTATAGCAATCATACGATCACAACGTTCTATGATCTCAAACAGAGAAAGGGAAAGTTTTTGCGGGAACACAAGAAGGATGGTGGTGTTGCTTTCGACATTTCGATGGACGTTTGTGTGTTCTGTCTGTCACCACATACCACGCTCGATCGGCCCCCTGATTTGTAGTACATTCCGCGCAAAGCCATTCGCATTATGAATATGTTTACTTGCAAGTGCGTGGAGATGCGGTTATTTAAGTAGGTGCACAGTCAGCAACTCTATCGTGCTGCACTGTATTGAACATCAGCGCCAACGCTTAGCCTGAAGATGCCAACTGGTATCACCCGCGACAAGAAGGAGAGCTCAATGTTCTTTCTCTTCGTTCTGATGGTCGTAATGACTTGCCATCGTTGCGTAGCGCACGTGGCAGTGGCAAATGAACAAGGCTTGCCACATACGAGATGTCATTACATTAACACTCCAAGAACTCTCCCACTATGAGTCATCGTTACCTCACACACAAGGTTACAAGAAAAGGAAGGAACGGTTTGCGAAATGACGTGCACAGTAGACTTCCCGCTCCAATGAAGTAGCGGCACACTCGACATTCGTGATTGCGCAGGGATCACAATGGTGTTGTTCGTGCAGTATGATACGGTACTGATCAGTCTTCCATGGAAGACGACCCTATCAGTTATGCAGAAATTCGCATTACTATAGTTTCTGATATGGCACGAACAAAGTACACATTTCTTTCACTATCTTACCCATTTAAAATAATAACCCAAATAGTGCAATGGGAAGGGGAGGGCAGTATACATGATTTGGGGTAGAAATATTCCGGGATGGTTGCATTCTGTGCGTGTATGTGTGTGTGTGTGCATGTATGTGTATGTGTGTATGTATGTATATATGTGTGTGTGTGTGTGCGTGTATGTGTATGTGTGTATGTATGTATATGTGTGTGTGTGTGTGTACGTGTATGTGTATGTGTGTATGTATGTATATGTGTGTGTGTGTGTGTGTGTGTGTGTGTGTGTGTGTGTGCGTGTATGTGTATGTGTGTATGTATGTATATGTGTGTGTGTGTGTGTGTGTGTGTGTGTGTGTGTGTGTGTGTGTGTGTGTGTGTGTGTGTGTATGTATATGTGTGTGTGTGTGTGTGTGTGTGTGTGTGTGTGTGTGTGCGTGTATGTGTATGTGTGTATGTATGTATATGTGTGTGTGTGTGTGTGTGTGTGTGTGTGTGTGTGTGTGTGTGTGTGTGTGTGTGTGTGTGTGTGTGTGTGTGTGTGTGTGTGTGTGATGATAGATGATAGATGATACAGATGTGCTGTTGAATGCGGTTATAACGATTTTGACCGTGGAAGGGTGGGGCAAATCATTCATGTTACTGACGAGTTGCGGGCAGGGAAAGGTACAGTCGCAAGTTCCCCGACCGGTTTACAGGTGGGAAGGACCGGAGGGGTGTGTGTCTATGGCGGAGGAATGTGCGCGCTGCTTGGATGATCAATGACGGTGGTGTGCTGTCTCATCTGCTGCAGCAGGTGTCGTCCTCCTATCGACGGGATTCTTCCTGGTTCGGTGAGAGCTGGAAGGGGTAGCCCCGTTCCTCTCTCCAGCATCATCATTTGCCATCTCTGCACTGCAACATAAAATTTTACATATGCGCTGATGACGTCATAGCACACTTAAAATTTCATCTATAGGATGGGAAGAGAGTGGGTGAGGAAGAGAACAGTTAGGGAGAGTCGGTAAGACGCCCGGTGGATATTCTCGCTTTGGAGTGAAGTTCGCATCCTTCCGAAAAGGTGGCAGGGCACCCTACCCTCGGCCATTTCACACTGCTTGCTTGCTTGTCTAGGAAATTCGTCTTTCTCCTGCCCTACTTTAGGCATGGTGTCTCCGTCGTTATCCAGGCCTAGGCTCTCCCTGGCTTGCAGCCTCACAATCCTCATATCACACCTAGCAATAGGTATACTTATTCCCTTTACAGGTATTCCATAATGAATTCTCTTCACCTCTCGCGCTGCTGGTTATACCGGCAGGAAACATAGTCGGAATATCGCTGACTCCTTTGTCACCACCCACGTACTCTCCCGTAAAACATTTGTAAATCTTTTCCAAACACACAATTTGCAAGCATTCTAGAATTATTTACACATGCACACATAGACACACACAGACACACGCACACAACTCCATTGTGAGAGCACGCAGCGATCGAAAATGTACCATCGTTCGGCCTTCCTGCCAAGCCCTCGCTGTTGTCGTCGTAGTCACCGATTTCTTACCGTTTTGTTTCAACGTATTATTCAGGAAGGACCACACTATATTACGCACTTTCCTTCTCTGTCCAAATATGTATATTTAAGAGATGGATGATATATATATATATATATATGTATGCCTGTGTCGTCGTCTTGTCTACCCCATAAGTGTGTGCGACACAACACAATTTGATGCTTTGTTGTTGACATGTCTATGACATAGTTTTCATCAAATAAAACTAATTTGAGTGTCTTTTTATTTAAAGTTGCAGTATGCGATAAATGGAATTGTTAAATTGAATTTGACAGGGCTAGCAGTCCAAGCTTTTCATTCTTACCCTTGTAGATGACGGTTCACGGAGTGAAAAGGAAGATGTTATAAGTTAGAATAAACAACGTCCTGCAAATGAGTTGAGTAAATTATTTACCAGCGTATCACTGCACCGCGTAGATAGTGCTTGTCACACCTGGCGTACCTGGGAGATGCTCCCCTGCACATCACATTTCTACGATGTAGGAAGGAAGTTGTTGTTCAACTTCCAGTTGTACTGCCATTGCTTGTTTCTTCTTTCTCTCTCGTCGCCTTTTATCTTTCGCCACTTTCATTCAAAAACTTCCTCTCTTTTCAATTGCGCGAGTGTCATTGCAGTGTTTGGTAATGCTGTGAGAGAAGGGAGAGGAAAGAGATAGATGAACACAGGGTATCATTGTTTACTAAGGTCATCCAATGAAGGTCAACAAGTCATCAGAAGGTTGAGAAGTTGGTGCACATGGAGTGGCAGAGGTCAGTCTTCTCCCAAAGCCTGGCACATGTTTGATTCTACGGGTGAAGGGAAGAGAGATCCTAAAATTCTACGCCAGTCTTGTAAGTGTCACCGTCTTTTTGGGTGGACATAGTTGCATTATCGTAAACAACGCTATCCTGTCAATATTCTGCTTTTGCCTCCTGCAATTCTACAGCAGGTGGTGTCAGTCAACCTAGTAATTTTGTCAAAGAGGTCACTGAGTTGATTACATTCTTCTGTTTGTCGCTGTTTACTTCAACCTTGTCTGCCGTGCGGGAGGATTTTCAGTAAATGTTTGTCTGTTTACTGCAATTTGTTTCTCTCTTCAGTTTTGTCCACTCACTGTTGCTCTCACTATTCGCCCTTCTGTCAATTTTCAGCGAAATAGAATCATTGAAGGATTAGTGGTTTAATCTGTTCGTGTAGCTTCTGTTTTGTGACGCTGTGGATGGATGTATCGATGACTTTTTTGGACTTATTGGACTATCTGATGAGTCACCACCCCCCCCCCCATTTCATCTCTTTCTTTATCACTTATCAGTTAGTGTTGGTGATCCTTGAATTGGTGGCTCTTCATCGTCTTTTTCTTTGGCTCAATTTACGCTGATTTCTTTATTAATATTTGCTGGTAAGGTTATGTTTCTGTTGTCTTCGCTTTCACCATTGGCAAGTAATGCTGAAATTATTCCGGAATTGAGAGACAGAGAGTAGAGGAATGAAATTAGTTGATGTCCATTGGTTGTTCACTGCGGAAACTACTCCGGACAATTGAAACTGCGGTAGTTTGAAAGATGTGGGTTTGATCATGCTTTGATTAAATTTTAGGTCTGTTTTCTTACAAGTATTTGCTGTTATTGTGAAGTTCACTACTGTCCGATCGGAAGATACTATTATTCTTCAATATTATGAATAACTGAAATAGATGGAGGTCTTGCTAAAATTAAGTGAGAGGTTGAGGAGGTGGACGACATCACTTAGGAAGTCGAGAAGCAGTCAGTATGAGGAAGTCAGCTGAAGAAGAAAGCATTGTTGTCCTTCCGGAAAAGGAAAGATTGCTGGAGAGAATTATATTAGATATAATCCTACTTCGTGCTCTCATCTTGCTTACCATGGCAACTGCTCAGCGGTTGTTGTTTTAGTTTACGGAATGATTTCAGGAGGTTAAGCAACAGCCGCACAGATCCGTAAAGGGCAGCGCTGCTACCACTAACTTCTTACTATGCAACTTCCATTTGCAATTAATCGATTCCAGCGGAATGAGCAACTAGGCGGATTTCATTATTGAACGTATCAGAAACGGCTGACTTTGGTTAATAACAGGAAGAGGAAGGCGTGTCACACCACTGTGACATTCTCGAGTGGGAGTCTTCCACTTATTCCAAATTTACTTACACTTCCACTTTTTGAAGAGTTTTTTTTTGGGGGATTCTAGGAAAGCTTCCAACTTCGACAAGAGCGGAGACGCGTCGCGGTTGTTACATTGTTGCGGGTTTCCCGAGAAACTGTTAGACATTACTCACTCTGTGCTCTCTCTTTGCCTCCCTCTCCCAAGATTCTTCTGCTTCCCTTCATTCTAAAATTAATCCAATTGTGACAGTTCGTGTCACAGAATGGAAGTCGATAATGATCGATGATTAGTAATATGCCGTCCGGCCGTTTACTGTATACTTAGCGTCGATCTGTTATCAACGTTTTACTCCAATTTTCAGACGACGGAGAGCATAGAGGACGGACGTATGAATGACGTGTCTTGGGACTCTGCACTCTCTGACTGCTTTCTGTCTCGCTCTCGTCGACTGCTTGCGAACAGCGAGGAGTGAGGGGGCGGGGGGTGAGAAAGAGAGTGTTCGCCTTCTCTCCGTGGGAACAATGATGCGCGTGACGTCATACTAGGTACAAAGCTAGTCCCCAATCTCCCCACTGCTACCCTTACACTTGCACTTTTTCTTTGATGGTCTGACGTGTGCACTCTCGGCGCCTGTGCTCTCACCTTCCTTCGCATATTGGCTCTGCTTACGCATGCGTATGTAGGAAGCAATGCTGTCGTCTGGCTGTAGTACTATTTAGGGCGTGTTTGCTGATATACCGCTCTAGCCTACTTGAAGAAGTGTGGCGTCATTTGGCTGCAGCATTGGATGGTGAGCAGAGGAAGAGAGAGAGAGAAGAGACTCCCACGATTGATGGCAGAGAAGGGAAGACAGCATCACATCTCTCTGTTCCCATGCTGCCTCCCTGACCAGCTCGAGTGGTCTCTCCCGCAATGTCTGTGTGCGCACTCTCACTGCACATTCCTCCTCCCTGGCTGAGTGAGCGACAACACCGGGACAGAACTCTCCAGTTCGCTCCATCTCGCTGCTGCGTGTCGTGGGGTTGCTGTATGTCTCTCTACGTGTACTACACGTGACTCACTCAACTTCCCTAGGTTATATAAAATCATCGGCTTTTAATTCACATGTCGAATCTAGCATAGTAAACTATCAAATCCTTGTTCCTTTTGTTTTTAGTTAATCACGATGCGCAGAAGAAGGGTAAACTTTGTGGGTTTTACATGTTTGATTTTAAGGGCTCAGTCAATTGTGCTAAAATGTAAATAATGATTTTCCTATCCTTGTCACATTGTTTTGCAATCATTAGTGATGATTACAGTGCCATGTTAACGCTTGGGTACTGAGATTGTTCTGCTACATCCGGGTGCTTCCCGCGGAGAGTCGGTTCCCGCATAATCTGCAGTACGATTTGGGGCGTGTTGACAAAAGAGTGTTAATGTTGGTAGCTATGGGAAGGGAAGGGAAAGAAAGAGGGAGCGATCCAAATTATTTTGCCGTTTATGCAGGAAAGCAAAGACCTATTGCCCTCCCCTTTATGGCACCGTACACTCCCATACATACATACACACACACACAACCAAGAAGCCCTTGATTACATGTTGGCATTTTCGGTGCTTTTTTCCTCCTGAAATACTGACTGACGGTGTTTGTAGATGCATAGAGGATAGCATGGGAGGATGAACAGTTCGAGAGAGAAAAACCTTATTTGTTACGCGTGATGTGTCATTGAAACGGACGCTTTGACGTAAACCTCACACAGGACTGGTTTACCCCATTTTTATTGTGTTTACTTAGAACCGCTATCACTGCAAAATAAGTTCAGTCTTACCATTAGTTGTCTTCAGAAAGAGGCTTCTAGATGAATGACATTCTCTGCGGCTGTCACGTCCCATTGTGGTAGATCAGATTTCACCAACCATACACGCATTAATCAATACTTATTAAATATCAGACGTATGAAGTTATCTTGTTGCGTCGAGTCCTTGTTTCTTAAGTTTAAATTTACCCGTCAATCACATAACGCAATATTGAGGAAGAATCAACTGGTGCAGTTTGTCTTTTTAATCTTTCCATTATCCACTATGTTCTATCCGCTCTATTCATCATTCCTGTGTCCGTTATTGTCATTCGGCTAGTACATCATTTGGTGCTCATCCTGGGATGTTACACTCATGTATTATTATTCTATTATTGCTCATTAGCAATTTAAAAGTTGATTGTGCTCAATGGACAGATGGGAGAAGGCGATGTGTTATTGAGAGATTTGTGTCACATTTTCCACTCTCTATTCCCGGTAGTAATTTGTAGAAATTACATCACTTTCCATTTCGTATTTTCTTTTCATCCCCTATTTCTTTATCAATGAAAATCATCTAGGACAGAATTGCTTACTTTTCTTTCGTTGTGGGTACAATTGATAAAGAGATGTGTCAGAGAAGAAAAGAAAAACTTGTACTGACCACTTCAGGTCAATATACTTTCTCACAGTCATGGATGGGTTGGAGAGGTGAAATAACTATTGAAATTTATCACAAAACCAGCATACAGTTACGCACACAGTTACGTGCTTTTGCTTGCGTGTTTTAAATTTGTTTAAGTTTTAAATTTAAATTTTATTTACGTGCGTGCACTACTGTAACTATGTGTGGTGTACACGTAATATCCAAGACTGTGAAAGGACAGTGAAGTGAAAAAAGTCTTTAAAAGAATAGAATGTTTGTTACACGTATCACTGTTTTCTCCAAAATATCATCGCTTACATTTTCTTAAAATAAAACGAGTTATGGTGAGGTGAGGAAAATTGTTAGAAAGCACCGAAGCTTTTGCTTTCTTTCAAGATTTTCTTAAATCCTCTGCTTTCATGGCTGTATCTATCTGCTACTCGATACAGTGGACACTACAGTGACATTTTGTTCGAATGAAACTGATGAACCTTACTCCGCCTCTATCTCCTACCACTCACTGAGACATAATGAAAGGATTCGGATGACGGTCATCATTTCTCGGTATTCAAACAATCGATACCTCGAGATGTGAGACGTTTCTTTCTCAACGACCATATATTGCTTTGCTTTTACCATATCCTTCTCTTTTTACCTCTATTTGGGGTCCAGAAAAGAAACAAAGACAAGAAGGTTCTATCTCTCATAGTATCCAAGGATTCAGTGTTTGTTTTTGTAAAGAATTTGGTCAGGGAATATTTTTTCTCTCTCTGTTACTAAGACATCCTTTGAAGTTATTTCATTTCAAGTTCCGCGTCAAGTAATTCCTTATGTGCAATAAGCCTGAATTGATAAGTGGAAAAGTATTAAAACTGATTAGTAAAGTAGACTGGAACACTAATCCCTTACAGATTACTTGTCTTGATTTATTCGGCTCTCATCCCACTTGTTTGGTTGGGATACTACTGCTATTATTCTATTCCTTCAAGTAAACAAATAGGCACTAATTATTTGTGCATCACCGTTCTATGCTGCGTGACTGATTTCGTTAGTAGCGTTATCCGGGAGTGGGGTTATTGACATAAATGTTCTTTCGCAAGTTTATAGTTGGGAAACGCGTAATATCGAGAAATTTCCCCACTGTACTTCACCTGATTCTTTAATATGCTTATTCCCATCTATCGCTTACCGCAAAGCAGGGAATGGACTACTATTGCTCGACTAATTTCGAATCACAGTGTGGTGAACAGAGCTGAAAATAAATTCGTTCCCACTGATTCACATGAATTCATGCAAAAGGTGCAAGGAGAAAGATAATTAGCAGTAACAGTTCTGTCCTTTCGAGTTCAGACTTGCTCTTCGTTCTACATCTACCGCTCCACTGTGACAGCAGCGCTGATGGCGCTAACGGCCTTCATAGTAACTGGTGACTGTAAGCGCTCTTCTTTCTTCGATCTTTTGTGCAATATGCTAGTGCTATCAGAGCATTATCAGCAGTACAACTGTCAGGTGTAGTTGCATCTCACTGCACAGGTATCTACTTCCACCCCCATTTATTTTGCAACCATAATTCAGCGGTATCTTGAGAGAGAGAAAAAAAAACATGCTTAAAAAGTCTTCGACATTCCAGTGTCTAAAGTCTAATTTTCTAAGTTGTGAATTAACCCTCAATCAGTGGCCTAAGGTAAGGATTATGTGCATATGAGTGAGAGCAGAATGTTATGAATTACTATGAACTATGACGTAGTAATTTTGTAAAATCGGAATTTAATTCAGTGAGATTTCTTCCAGTTGAATTGCTTTTTTATGGGGAATTTTGTCCATCAGATCAAACAGTTGGTCGAAATCAGCTGACTGAAATTTCATAGTTGCAATGAATTAATGTTGATAATCGTTAATGAACTTGCGTTCATCCTGACTGTGAATTTAAAGGTATTACAAGCGATAGTCATATAGAAATGGTTTGATCCAATAATTGTTCATAACGTTAATGAACTGTTTCCATGATCGGATGTTTGGAACAGGAAAAAAGGACTTGTTTTCAGGATTAATAATTTTGCTAGCAAAACGAGGAAGAAGGAGGAACTTCAAATAACTATTTTCATGTGAGTTTTAATCAACTTTTTCCCGACATTTAATTTCTGGTTGAGATGATCCAAGGATATTTGCATAAATGTTCGTAGATTCCAAAAAATAACAGTAAGGAGTGATAGACGTGTGAATTATACGATAATTATCAAAAGTTGGTCGCAAATGATTGGTACGAAGTCACCTTCCCTTAAAAAAATCAGAATCACCCATTTTTTTCATAAACAAATGGTATATTGCTGATAGTAAAGAGAAAAGATTATTTGGAATTCTTGAATTGACCAAAAGATTTTGAAATAATAATAAAGTCAGTCTCAAATTTTGAATCGGTTTTGCTCATTTTCAATTTCAAAAAAAATTACTGCAGCAGTTACATCTGCCGCGCCTTGGTGTGTTCTTTCCTGTGCGGGAATACTTATTCATTAACGCCTTTGTCTGATGTTCATTTTTATGTATTCCATAATTCATTTCACTGTCCTTGTGCCTGACTTCCAGTGCTAGGTGGATATAAATCATTAACAAATTCAGATTCTGAAGATAATTAAGTCAGCTAAATTGTTTCTTGAAGTTTATATCCGAGAAGTTTTTGGGCCCTTTCATGAACCGAAAATTGATGCTTGCTGCTACTGAGTGGTAATGCTAAAGAGGGTAAATGATGAAAACAATCATATAGAATTTAAGTTCGACGAATAAAACATTCATATTTTTTTTAGATATGCTAAAATGCCGGTTTCATACAATTTATAGCAAACTGTGTACGGACGAGAAAGGGAAGGTGTGAGGTAAAATTTTGAATATTTGCAAAATGATTTCTTTTCCATTCAATAGCCGATTTAATTTCGAGACGTCCATATTCGATGTTTTTCGCTTATCAGTATAAATTTATATTTTGATGAAATATAATTTTAATTTTACAGCAAATTTTTAATCCTTTTCATATATATTAGTTATTATTGTTACTATTGCTATTATTCTTACTGTTGTTGTTATTTTTATTGTTTGTCACCAGTAATTATTATGATCATTGTCGCTATTACCAGTACTGTCATTATTATTTATTGCTGTTTATTTAACAGTGTAATATATTTTTCAGAAATGGCATTTGTATCCGGAGTGGGAGGCGGTGGTGGCGGTGGAGCTGGAATTGGAGGAATAGGAAATGGTTTACCGACGGTAACACAATCAGTAGCAACACCCTGTGGCATACCGTCTGCGTCATTACGTCCTCAAGTCTGGTTTTATTTAACACTCTCCAGTTGAAACACTACTTTCCGTTCCCGCTTGTTTCATTAACATGATGTTATGTTTGGCATTTAAAGAGTTGCATGTAGTAGTGACACAGCAGATTAGTAACACTTGACAACAAACAATCTGATTATGTTGTAAAAAGTCAAGTCATAAAAGCTGTGAACACGCGTAACAGTAAAATGTATCTATATTAGGAATCATTCCTTATTAAAACTTAAGGATGCACAAGCGATGTCACCACGTGGTGCAGCGTCACTTAGTACAGCAGCCTTGGCAGCTGCGCAAGTTTCGGCAACTCCGATTCCTGCAGCCCATCTGCTTTACCAACAGTTTCTTTCGGCCGGAGCCGTTGCAGCGCAGTCGCAGCTTTTGCAGGGAACTGCAGCAGCTGTAGCTGTGTCACAAACGGCACAATCACTTCCACCGGGGCAAATATTACCACAAGCCGCTGCAGCGGCAGCAGCAGCGGCAGCAAATGCCGTGGTAGTTGCTGCACAACAACAACAATCCGTTCCGTCTCAGCAACAGCAAACAGCATCCGCACCACAGTCACAACAGCAACAGAATCAAGCATTTGTACTGGCAAATGCAGCGCAAGCGCTTGCAATCAATCAATTGCTACTACAACAAAATCCATTGCAGCAACAAGTAAGCTTGCTTTTAATTTCAGCGCAGTACGTTTCATGTTCCTATGTTGAGCGATTTATTTTATGTATGTGTTTAGACGTGGACCTATTTCTGATTGCATTTCTTGTTGGTACCGCTTGCGCAACAGATTACTTCTTAGTTGCTCGAGCGAAAAGTACATAGATCTTTCTTCCTTTCTCTTCCTCTCAGTTAGGCTCAACAAATCTTTTCTTTCAATAAGTAGCTATCATGTAATGTCAGGTGCAAGCAGCATTGGCGCAACTGCTCAATCCATTCGCCTATTATCAACCACACTTGACAGCATTACTGCAACAAAATCAACTTACTGCTGCTAGTCACATACAACAATCGCAACAACCATCTCAGATTCAAGGTACATTTCCACTTTCTTCGTGGGGCTGACGCATTTGATATTGATTAATTTAGTCAGCTCACTCTTGGATAGCTTTTCTGATCTCATAGGTATCGATCTGGATAACCGGTACCGCACGGTACTGGTTATCACTGGTTGGTAATATACTTCGTTCAATTTTAGTTCAGAATGGGATTGGAACACCGGTAGCTGTTCAGCAGCAGCAAAAAATGATTGAAAATTTACTGGCAGAACAAGTGGTCCGAAATCCGACAGCACATGACAAAATAGGTTTGTTCTTCCAAGGTAGATGCCTCTGACTGTGAGAACTTGAATGCAAAGTGCTATAGGTCAACTAAAATAAGACTTTAAAAAAAAAAAAAAAAACGCGAAAATTTAGCAACATATGAGAGGGATGAAAGCAGATTTGGCTAAATTTGATATTAGTGGACCGTATCATCAGTTCTTTCAATGTATGATTAACGACCACTAATGGTAAAATTAACTTTAGTTTGACATGAAAAATGCATTCTATTTTGGTCCCTAAATTGATACATATTGAAGAGTCTTTAAGATATATCACAGCCGGTCGTGGCGGATAATAGAAATGTTGGATTGCTGACAAGTGCAGAGTCAGTGAAAGAACACATATCGCGGTTGATTAGCGAGAATGAAGCAATTCTGGAACAGAATCCTGGTCTCATCAAAAGGCGTCCATATCATCGTCAGGTGGGCTCGCAGTCGTCCGTCGAACTTGAAACGGGTATTAGAAGTCAGAGTAATTCACCAGGTATTCCAAATTCATTTTTGTTTCCATTTAAATATGAAACTGATGTGCTTTAAGTGTATATGCATGAATGGGAAAATGTATTTTTTTCTTAAATGTTACGTTAAAGTATAAACGTCGACTCTTATAGTCTCATCATTATTAAGGTTTGCGTGACGTACGCTTACAGTTCACACATAGTCAATCGTTCTATGAATCACACAAACCACTTCCTGTTCGAGTTGCCGGTGGTCCATTAACCAACGGCCATCCAATCGTGAAAGCACCGGAGAAATGTATATGCAATTATTGCGAATTAAAGTTCCCAAATGATGCTGCTCTAGTCGCTCATGAAATCCGTTGCAGCAAGTTCGCTTTATTTATTATTTTTTTATTTTTCACTTTATTCACATAACTTTTATGAATTATTTATTCATTCATGGTTGTTTACTATTATCCTTAATATCATCTGTCGTTACTTTCCGTTTCATTCTAATAGTTCTTTCTTCTCTGTCACGGACGGATTTTTATTGGTATCACAGATATGAGAAGGTTACCGGTATATCTATCAAAAATATAATTTATTCCGGCACCTTTCCATATCTTGTCCAATTTTATTCACTTAAGCTTTTACTTTTTCGACTATAGAAATTAATTTGAGTTATACTCTTTCGCATAACTTTTATTAGTACGTAATATTTATCGATTGCTTCTGTAAAGAACATATCCCTTTAAATTTTAGAATGTCATTGAGATTAATTATTTCCTCTTTTGTTATGGCGTTTATTTCCTACCTTATACGCATGCTGTTCCGATGATAAGATGGTACACGTTCAATGTAACTATTGTTTCTTATCAATAGAAGTTTGAACCATTTCAAAAAACCAAAAAATTTGTTTCAAAGGGATTTGTTGAGCTTTCTGAGAAAAAGCGTCGTTTTGTCTCTTTCGAGATTTTAGAAAAAAAAGAACAAGGTTTATTTATATCGGCAGTCGAGGTAATAAAAATGCTACTCGTGTATTAAGACATATCGTAGTAGATAGTGGATCGATAAGTTCTATGAAAAATGAATTACAGTGTACCACCTCATTATCTAAATAATATTTATGATAAAGAGTAATATTGTGAATTAATGCACTTCATCTATATTTTTTGAAGACGGGCAGAATTACATTCGCAAACAATATCGTCATCAGCATCATCATCAACAGTAGCCGCTGCACATTTCCAATTGGTGCAGCAACAAAATCCGGTGAATACTATGATGGTTGATAGAGCTGGGCGTAAGACGAATACCTGCAACAGTAGTAGTATAGGTTCTTCTGTATTACACGAAAATCGTCATCCACTTAAACGACGGCTTCTAGCAGCTGCGGAACATCTCGACGAATCACAAGCATCCACAAGCAAAACTCCAAAATTGGTATAAAATTTGATGCTAGATTGAAGTTCTGCGTTTTTTTTTTCTTTTTACGATGTTTTTTAAAATAGTATTTCACTTTTTTCTAAAAAAAATTTTTCTTAAGTCAAATTTAGTAATATAACTTTTATTCGTATTTACAAAACGTTTGTTCAGTCTCTGGTACTGCCAAAGAATTTTTTATATTTGTTTTATTTACTCAGCAGTGTCATATGTCTTGTTTTCAAAAATGTGCCACGAGTCATCCTGATCAAATCTCATGTTGTCAGAATCGAATCTCTTATTGTTAAGGTAGGTGTTAACATGAAATTAAGATTTCGTTTTTAGGATACACCCAAACCAAGTATGAATATTACAAATCCAGTCTGTATATCGTTACCTGCCACACATTACAAAGCACCAGTAGTTTCCCAACGAAGTTTCAACAGCAGTAGTAGCGTCACTGTTATTAGCGAGACTTCTGTTCCTGCTACACAAACATTGATAATGGTATCTTCTCATCCTACCAATCAACTTGTAGCTTCAAAAAATGTACAGACGTATCAACGAATATACCCTGTTTCAACTATTCCACAGGTGTGCTTGCACGTTTCTTTCATTCCATTTAAATATATCGCGTGAAAGCTATGTTCTCTTTTCTGAAATATGGAGGCAGATTTTGGAATCTTTTTTTTTTCTTTTTTCATATTTATTTTTTCTTAACCATTCGGCATGTTTTATAAATATTAATTGGAATGCTGTTGATAATGACCTGTGTCACTACCGTTTGCTTGCATAAGAAATGTATAAAACGATGTTGTGCATGGAATATGCTCAACTTAAGTTACATTGTTTGGTTAATTTTATTGTTTTTCTTTAGAGCAGTAGTGCAGCGGCCAACAAGCCATATATTTTAACATTAAACGATGTATCAACAGGCCGAAACGATGGTATATCACGCCGAAGTCGGATGCGTAATATTACTACGGAAACGTTTGCCACGTTGAACAAACCGCAGCCAATGTTCTGCGAGCATAAGCCGAAGCTAAGCATGTATAGCAACTGGCAACAAGTTATTCTTTTTTATTTTAAGACTTGTTCATGTTTTTTAAGATATCAGTTGCACATATTTAACCGTGAAATTTAAGCTGCATTTTAATTTCATGTTTAAGAGAACAAGTCCGTTCATTCCGTATTCACTCGGATTTATTTTTTAAATAAAGTGCAAGTAATGATACATCTGTAAATTTTTAATTTCATCAGATGTTTTGAATTTGTTCATTGTTTGATCCTACCTTGTTTTTAAAGTTTTATTAATACAGGAATTTTGTGAAGACATATTCATCTGATCTACTTTTTAGTTATTCTATACTTGCAGAGTACTGTAGATTCGGAGGAAGCAAAGTTGAATTTACTGTACATAAGCACATGTTCGACAAAGCCGCGGATAGGTGTTAAGCAGCTATGGAGGTATACGACGGCATTACGCGAAATGGGTGTGCTCAAAGTGACGCATTCTTCATTTTGGGATTACTCGACCAAAGTATGTATCTTTGTATCTCTGCCAAAATAACATCCTGCTGTTTGTTTCCAAAAACTTTGGAGAAAAGAGAAAAAAAAAGTATTGAAATGTATCAAATCAAAGCATTGCAGTTATTTGGTCCGAACAAACCCCTCATTTTATATATCCAAAAATTTACAGTTTTTGGATTTTGATGTTGATTTAATACTGCCTAATAACAGGTTTCTCTCTGCTTTTGTTAACTTTTTGATTTTATTTTACTTTTTTTTTTTTTTTTTTTGTTGAAAGCGTACATGAAATTAATTCTCCAACTTGAATAATTTTTGCGACAAACAGTGAGGATGAGGACGAGAAAAAGAGGCAAACTATTACAGATACGCTTACGTCAAAATGCAGCAGCTACAGCAACAGCGGTGACACCGATAAATTCCCAAGCGGTGATTGCAACCTTTGTCCAGGAACGTTCGTCTATAATGACATCGACATCAACAACTGTTTCTGCAACTAATGTTACCACTTTTGTACCACCAAGCAATAATCCAAAGGGAAGGAGTGATAATGATTCAAATATCAGTGATAAAGAGAATATGGCAATGGCGGAAAGGGATCGGAATGCTTTGACTTCTTTGGAAGAGTACATTTCTCGCATTTAATTTCAACGATTTTTTAGAAAGAGATTCAGAGATCTCGCTTTTAATATTTCTTTAATGCATCAGTTAGTCTATAAGTTGTTAAAGCAGTAATTTTGAGGATAAATACCCATAGAATATACGACTTTGTTAATAATGCACCCTGGTATACGATTTAGTAAACCACAGAACAGCAACAGTGTGATAAATTAGTTAATAGCAGAATTTTGAATAAGATGTCCAGTTCGTTTGAGTCGAGTCGAATTTGTATAGATTCCAATCTCTTATTGTCTAGCACACTAAAAGCGATGAATACACAACTTTTTGCTTTAGAATTACCGATAAACAGCAATCACAACGGGCTCAAGTTACAAGTGAGTCAGTAAAAACGTTATCTCAGAAAATAGTGGGAGGCTATTTCTCAAATGAAGTTTACGTATACGTCCGTGGACGTGGACGTGGTCGTTATGTCTGCGGTCGTTGTGGAATACGTTGTAAAAAACCATCGATGCTAAAAAAGCATATCAAGTTAGCTGTTTTTCCCTCATTTTTTTAACAGATCTCAATTTTATTTGAAAGAATGTCGTACTAATTCACATATACTTCCCATTCTTTTTTCTTTTTCTGGTGATGTCCTAATTGAATTTTGCAAATTCTTGATGTGTCAGTAAGTGTTAGAATTCCTAATTTATATTGTCAAGATTGTTCTATTATTGCTATCATGTATATTATTTGTTTCACGGTGTTTGGACTTTTTTATGACAACGTGATGGAATCTTTTAAGCTATGGATTATATAAGAAAGCAAAAAAGCTTTCTTCACATCCATCTGATGGATAACTTTTTTACTCTTTATAGATCTCATTCGGATATACGACCATATGGTTGTAAACAGTGTAATTTTAATTTCAAAACAAAGGGTAACCTTACCAAACATCTGCAATCGAAAACACATCGTCGTCGAATGGCTGAAAAGGAGAAGCAGAAAATATCTGAGCAAGATTCGGATAGCGATCATGATCGGTTAGAAATTGCAAGCCTTAGCGGGACTGCTTCAACGTTTAGCAACGATCCACTTTCAGACGATGAATGGTAAATTCTTCATTTGTAGCTTTTCAAGTTTCAAATTTTCTAGTGTTATTTTTTATTTATTTATTTTTTTTTTAATGTTAGACCACAAGTTTAAACAATTCCTAGCAGACCGGTATTTTCTCACTTATTTTTTCAGCTCATCAGATGAAGAATTGCGGCCACCCTGTAATGACAAAAACAATATGTATCGAAAATTTGGTCAAGGTAGTCTCTTTTTTGTTTTAAAACTACAACTCACAAAATCAAAACTTATGCTAAGAACATCAATCGTCCTTCTCACCAGAAGCTTAGTTGTTAACCGTGTTGCTTGCATAACAAAATTCTGTTATAGCATATGGTGGGTATACAAGGCAGGATGATCAAAAACCAAAAAATTTTTTTCATTTTCATCTTGTACGTATGCATAATATAATACGATTGTTCTGATCTGAAACGTTTCTGCATAATTGAAATCCTTTTTTGAAACTGATCGGAAATTCGTTATGATTTACCTCTTGTCCATTTAAAACTGCGCCTAGTCATTTATTTAGTGGTATATGCGTTATTCCCTTGCAATTTATGATTCTAATCTTCACTAACATTCAAGAAAATACATTGATGGAACGAACTGCTCATACACCACCAATGTTATGGATTGTTGGTGAAACGGTCTTTGATTGGTCGATTCCGAATTGCTTACGATCATGTCACAGTGCACCACCTAGTGCGCGATATCCATCAGAGGGACGGAATCAGCAAAAACTATTGGAAACCAATTTTCTATTAAAGAAGGTAATATTTGATGGGTTTACTGATGATTACGATTACCAGAATTTATCATTCATGTAGTATGGCACTTTCAAGCTTTTTTTTTTTTTTTTTAAATCTAGGATATCTCGGAAGACATCTGTAGCTCCGAAGTCAAGCAATCGACAACCTGTGCTGTTCAAACTTTAGTACCCACAACTAGTGGTTGTCCACAGTTGCATTCGCTGTCATCCTTCCTTACAGAGCAGCAACCTTCAGTAGGAGCATTTTTTGCGAAGGAGGTCTGTACGATTGTTTTTTGAAGCTTGTTTATTGTGTAAAGCAAAGTTGGTAATTTCTGCGTGGAATTAACAGTAACAAGGAAATATTTGTTTACTTCCTCAAAATATGATACGTCAATACATGCTACTTATAAATTTTGCTTGAACAAGCGTTCATCAAAGTCTTCGCCTTCTTTCGCATAATTTTTTCTTGCATGAAATACTTTGCATAAGAGAAGCAAATTGCACTAAAATATTACTCGAATAAGTACGAATAGAACATCCTTTTTTTCTCACCTGATCTATTGCTATTTGGTTCCATGAATATGCAATTTTTTTCTTTTCAAGACAATGATATGCGATATTTGTAAGCGAGTATTTCGAAGCTCAACAGAGATGACACTGCATCGCAAAATCCATTTGATTGGACCGTCAAATTCACGTATACGATGTTACCAATGTAGCGAATGCAAATATTCGGTCCGATCACGTAATGCTTTGCAGCGACATATGGAAGAAAGGCATGGAATTGTTGAAAATTTGCAAACAGAACAACTAATTGACTCTGATAATGGTATGGGTTTATAAACTGCTACTTTAATACAGTCTACTGTCCTGCAAAATATCCAACAAACTAAACAACTGGAGCATAGTGTACATGTCATCAATATTTCAAGTAAAGTGAGATAATTGTTAGGGTTCAGATGAGTTCAAAGCCCAACGAGGGTAAATGTGAGGGACATTTGGCAGTGATTACATGTATATGGTTTAATGTAGGAAATGGTTCAACTAAATTTGTACATAGTCTGGCCATCATCGTGAAAAAGTATGCAATAACCTTAATCAGTCTTCGAAAAGATTGTTTCAGAAGAAGCCAATACAAATTTGTCATCGATGAATCCACGATCATTTATGTGTACTGATTGCAATATTGGATTTCGGAAACACGGTATCCTTGCGAAACATTTGCGTTCTAAAACTCATGTTATGAAGCTGGAAAGTTTACGTATTATCCCAGAAGATTCGCTGTCACTGATAACACGTAAAGAAGGAGGTGTATATTTGAACGAAATCGATACGACGGATTGTGAACGTGCACGACAAAGCATCCTCGGTTAGTTAATTTTTTAGTTTCATTGCTGATAAGGACATTAAAACCTACTGCTTTGGTAAGTTACGCTGACTGTAGCTTTGAAGGAGTAAGCCTTAGTTATATTTCGTAAATTGATTAAATACTGTTTGTTTTTCAATCGCAGTATTTTGAGACTCCATTGTTCAGATGATATTACTCGATGAGTGAAGTTTTTTTCCAAGTAAAAAAAGAATTACAGGTAATCACTTGCCTCCGATTTGTTAATCATTTATTTTCTAACTGTTAGCCAGGTTATAATCATTTGTTTATCGGCGATCAGTGTCATATCAACAAGATTATCTATATTAAACCTTTCTCAAGTGTAAAAATTGATCTCTTAGAAAATTGAAATTTACAATTATCAACTAGTAAAATTTCCTTTTCAGGAATCATTTCAACATTACGTGATTCAAATGCATTGGAATTTCGCGAACAAATATCACATTTACCGGCTCCACTGCAACATACTGCAAATAACAGTAGCAGCAATAGCCATAACACCATCAACAATAGCTATTCGTCGCAACAATTGAAAATACAACGTTCTCCAGTATCGTCCACTAGCCAGTCATTTATTGAAAATAAGCGATTGTTAACCAGTCAACAACATACATTAAAACGTCCCGACACCTTAACAACAAAAATGATGGTATATATTTCTCTCAATTGATTCAAATGCACTGGAATAAAACTGTATGTATTGGAACAAAACTGGCATTCTAAAAGGCTGAAAGGAAAGAGAACGGTGGAAAAAAATATATGTTGATATTGCATAATTACTTATTTATAACAAGTTTTCGTCAAACTCTTTTCATTAAGTTCATTTCATTAAGCAAATATAACATTTTAGATTGAAATGTCACCCAGAAAATGCGATATGACAATGTCACAGCGAAAAGCAGATGAATTGAATGGAAAGTCGATTACCGCAAATGTTTGGATGCCACCGAAACTTGATGTGAATTCGGTATTAGTTCCAGTTATTTTGTACTCACCTTCATCTTTACCTTTATTTGCTAGATCTCAGAAAACATCTACAACGCGAACTTTCGTTTGTTGAAAATTCAGCATTTTATTCATCCACTTTTTTTTATTTAGTAATTCCAGCTGATAATTTCTGTGATGGTTATTTGGCTTTTGATCTAATAATTCGAGTGATGCTTTTGAACTTGTAATTTTTTTTATTTGGTTTTTTATTACTTTTTTTAGTATTCTCAATTTTTTTTATTCAGACTTCTGATCGCCGCTCTGCTGATATAATTAGTCGTTCAACAGTTGACTCTGCTGCACTTTCGGACAACGGTAAGTTAATTATTTGGAATTTAAAACAGTTTATATTATTGTTCAACGGCAGCGGCAGATGGTAACAGATACACTGTGGATGAAAGAATACCATTCGGAAGAGCTGCAGCCACTGCATTCTGTTGTGCATTTTGCAATGCAGCAAACATAGCCGCTTGTGTGGTTGCCTCACTCACTGATTATGCAATGCATTTTTCGAAATGTCCTGAGATTATCTTAAAACTTTGCATGACTTATGAATATTATCAATTAACTTTAGTTTATATAGGAATTAGTAATTGCATTTTTTTTTTTTGATGGATAGGTTCCTCTGTACGATCAGATGAAGCAAATAGTGAAGGAGCTGGACGTAGTGAAAGCTCAACACCAACGCAACGTGTTTTGGCTGGTACTGCACCATCACCCCTTTTGCCAGCTTCTACCAGATGCAACCTTTGCGAAGTCAACTACGAATCTAGTTTTGATTTGCAGGTAGATCATCTTAGCAGCCACTTGCTTTTTTATGTAATTGAATTTCCGAAGTTTAATGAATATTAATGCCATTTTAAGCTCTAAGATGCATATTTACTTGCTGATTTTTACAGAAACCAACAATTTGAAGTTACGGGATTTTGAACCATTGCAAATATGATCCAATAATAAAAATTACCCCAAGAAAAATTAATTGTTGCTGTCTGCCGTGTGTTATTAATGAAGATCAGTTTAGGTACATCTTCATGCTGATCATGTAATGCTACGGGATGGGAAAGATTTTTGCTGCCCAAAGAAACAGTGTGACAAGGTCTATCCAAGCCGTGAAAATCTCAGGCAGCACATCGCGGCACATTATCATGGCAGTGTTATTACATCGTTATCAGGTTTTGTTTCCTCATTGTTGGGCTTAGAAGGAAAAACATCAGACATGGAAATTTTCTTTTTTATCTGCTGCAATTTGAACTTTGATAATTATTTTATAATTTATATATATATATAAATATATATATCGTTTACAGAATTCGGATGTGATAGTTCCAACATTATTTTTTAAGACAGTCGGGATGAGATCGAGAGTGCAGTCATGGTATTGTCAGATGTAAGCGATACATCCATAGTTCTGCACCGTAAACCAACGAATCTAACACATGGGCAACACATGCATTCTCTACCGAATCACAATCCGAATGTACTAGAAGAATCTCATGCAGCTTGTTCAAAAACATCTAATTGCAGTTCTACTGTAATATTATCGATTGATTCTGGTGTTGCGAGCAAGGAGACTGCTGTAACGAGGTTTAATCTTTAGTAATAAGAAAGGAACTTCAATAATGCGTCATGGAGAGATAATTGAAGACTCTTTTTAACCTACTATTTTATGGTACAACTGAACAAGACACAAAGAAGATTAGGATAAGAGGGCTTAAAAAATAGTTTTTTTACGCTTTTAGGTCCTTATCCAGTTATGTTGGACTTTTTGCCTTTGATTTGCGGTGAACTTTATTTCGTTATTTGCAGCAATGGATTAATAAAACAACGCCAACCAACAAAACTGAATGAAGTGGAAAAAGCGAATGGATGCGGAATTTTAGATGCTGCTATTCAAGTAAATTTGAAATCGTTATAATCTTCTTTCTTTTATATCAGTGATATCATGATATCGGTGATATACCATACATAAGATCTACATATCCGACTCATCAGAAGTAGAATGCAGCTTTTGAGTGGTATCGGAGTGGTGTCTCTGTGCATATGTGTTTGATATACCATGTATTAAATCATCATGCCAATTTGAACATTTAAAGTGGGATGTTATGTGGTCATTTGAATATTCAGGTTTGTTATTTTGCTATTTAATCGAATTGTTTTGAACCAGTTATCTTCAAATTTAGGATCGAAAATGGTCAACGTCTACGCAAGCAACTGTAACATCTACATCATTCATAAGTGCCGCAACAATATCGGCAACTTTACCTTGTGCCATCTGTGGACAGTCATTCCCGGATGCATTTGCTCTGCAGCGACATTGGCTTTCGCATGTTTGCGATCGACCACATATTTGCAAGCAGTGTGATGCTGGATTTACTACTGCCGACGCTTTAAACAGTCACACATTGACGCATCAAAACAACAGACGTGAGCGCTGATGTATATGCATGCATATATATTTATACATGTATAGATTGTTACAAAACGAGCAAAATCATGAGTTGCTGATTGTATCAATTTAAGAGATATTTGCATAGTATCTTCCAATTTATCTAATCGGATCAAACTTCAGTTAATATCTTTATAATCATTCCAATATTCAATATTTTTGTGAAACTAAACTTTGTTTGTTTCGAAATCCAAATATTAATGAATTCTTATTTCAACCTTAAACTGACTTGTAAGATCGATAAAGAATGCTGGCAGTAGTCTCCAGTATCCTGATATTGTCATATATATATATATATATATATACTTAATAACCAGGCATTATGTACGCTTTAAATTGCTTGAACTGAGTGGTATGCTCTTTCTATTCTTTTTACAATTTTAAAATCTGACTCTTATAGCGAAGTTGATTGGCTGATTATTGATGATAGGTTATACTTATTTATTCTTTATATCCTTTAATTTTTTATTATAAATACACATGGAATGATGGAAAAGCTCTAACAATACCAATAACTATTCTTTGCAGTGCAGGAATAATACAAATTCCCAAATAAAGCTGCCCTTGTTGCTCATAAAATCCGTTGCAAAAGTTTGTTGTCCTTTCCCTTTTCACTTTATGTTTACAAATTTCATGAGTACATTATTCACTGATGATTTTTACTGTCCGTTTATGAGACATTTATGAATTGTCATTCATTATATTTTTTTACGCAACTCGAATATTTGTGCACTTTTTACCCTTTTTGTGCATACCCACAGCCCTTTTTGGTAGCAGTGGATGCTCTTTAAGGACATTTCTAACATATCTTGCAAGGTATTAGCTATTCCAGATATTGTCACATATCTCATAATTTTTGTTAACCAACAAATATGTAAGTTATTAGATCTGGATGTATGCTACAGACTTTGCCTACATTTTCTTTTCCTGAAACTCAGTTTTTAATTGAGCTGCTGATTGAATTAGTTGTTACAGATAGGCAAATAATTACGGAACGTCCGGAAAGTTCCTAATAGTCCTGGTAATTGTTCTTTTACAATACAAAAGTAAAATACTAATAGCATTGTAATCTTTTTCCGGAAGTGCCACATTTCTAAATCTTTTCATAATTAATTTTTTGTTCCTTTCAATCATGTTTATTGACACGGAATTGTTGTACATTTCTGGCTACCGCTATTAATATATTTACACTTGAATGCTCATTTTCATATTACGCGTTTTCATTTGCCGGTGTTTTTCCCTATTCCACTTTTCGCGTTTGTTTGTTTTCCGAAATTTCAAGTTTGTGTTATTGACTTACTAATATAAGCAGTTTTTTTTCTTGATCTCCGAACGCTTCTCATCTTTTTAAAGTTGGTGCACATTGGCACTTGGGAAATGTTCATTCTCTTTTTCGGTTTCAAGTAATATTAACCTTACAAATGTGGAATTACTTTTAAAAGGGTGCATTATTAAGTAAAGCAGTACTCGGAACATGGTGCTTCATGTTTAGATGAATCAGGACCCCGTTTTATTTCTTCCCGTCTCAGTTAACTGTGGTTGCCATTATGTATCATGGAAAGTACATCGCATGTGCAACCTTTCAAAATAGGTATTAATCATTCCAGGAACAAACTAATCAGCTGACTTCTACTTCGAGGATTGTTTAAATTCTTCAACATTCTGTGATGGTTCATTTCTTCTGAGTAAAAGTATAGTCTTCTGACTGTGGTTGTTTCAAAATCTTCAAAATATTTCTGAATGGTCGTGTAGGCGACTAATTGCACTTCATATTGTCAAGATTTCGTGTAACCCTTACCCCCAAAGACGTTGCTGAAGGAATGGGATACTTAAGTTCATCAGTTTGGGAACTGAGGCCTTTTTTTGGGAGATCACATTCGAAGGCTATAGAGGAGTCGCGCGGTATTTCGTGAATTTTAAGATTTCTGAAATATAAATGAGGGGAATGATATGTGAAGCGTTAAAATATTTGTTGGAAATGTTCTGTGTCTTTGTACGTTTTAAACATCTTTGTTATTTTATATAAATGTATATACTTTGAGTGTTAGTTATCACCTGAGTAATTCTTTCATCAGTTATTTCAATTGAAAATTAATGAACTGCAGTGAAGTGTCTGAACCTTTAACAAGGATCAGTCCCAGTGCCACTGCAAAACTTTATTTCTTTGGGCCTCGCATTTCCGGATGTTTGCAACGTCTCTACAAGTTGCTTGCCTGTTGAAAGCAAAATAATTTTTATCCGTTCTTCAGAAAATTTAAATGCCCTCCGATAATGGAAACATGAGTAAGGTGCTAAAATTTACCAGAAAGCGAAGTTTGGATCTATTTGTTACATTAATTTAATTCTTCAGATCTCCAGTACGATCGAGAAACGCATGTCTTATGGAAAAATACGGAGTGTTTTGACCAGCCGAAGGAAATCTTAAAATCAAAGATAATTCATCCATCCATCACTGAAATGAAGAGAAGGTGCTTTTCAAGCGAATCAGTTATTCCTCTTCAAAAAGTTGGACTTCGAGAAGTGAACCATTGCCACTACTTGAATTTATCTAACTTCATTTCACAAACCGACTGGAAAATTAATATTTTTCATTCCTTCCAACTGAAAACAAGATGGATTTCCACGTGGAATATATAACCCCGGTTAACAAAATGACCATCTGTAATCTTTGATTGCCATAATAAAATAAAGTATGGAATTACCTGACATACAGAATGAACTCTAAAGACCATTTTACAGTGAAAGTTGGAAAGACTTGGCATCAAATTTTACTTCGTAAACGTAAGTAAATAGTAATAAGCATTCAGCAGATAAGGCATCATTGGCAAATAAGCTAATAGATACAGAATATTCGGATGAAATGTGATATAAAATTTAGATAAGGAACAAAGTATACGACTACTCAATTTTGAAGAAAATATGAAAGTGTTGCTAATATTTATAGGTTATTTAGCAGTAACCTCATTTTAGATACAAGTTAACATTCAACGACATCGTACGATATGCTAAAGGATAAAATAATTATCACTGAAGCATATTTTTCTATTTCAAATTCAAGGATTTGCATTTAAAATTCTTTAAATATATCGCCTGAATATACAATCATTTCCATCTTCATCTCGTTCCTATTAGCACTAACAATTCACAAAAAAAATGATGAATTCAAAAAAAAGATAAAACGTACAAAATGACAAATGTCGGTTAATAACTCCCACTGTTTTATTAGTCAAGTTTCTGATGATTCTAGAGGAATCAATGAAAATCGTGAAACTGAAACATTTGAAATGTAGCAGATACATAGCAATTTGGAAAATGAATGAATGGTGGCATTTCATTACTGAATGAATCATAACAGTCGTAACTCTGGTAACTTTATTGTATATGTCTTTTTTTGGAAAAAGGTAGAAGACATGGTAAATATATTTGGAAAAATTCAAGTTAAACTTGTGAAATGCTATTTAAATTTCTAAAAAGTCACTTGAATCACACCTAGATTATTTTCTGCGACAAGGTGTTAGTCATGGAATTCCTTTAATTATTTTTAAAACCACTGTGAGACTGAATTCCATTGGTAGTTAGACTTGTTTTTGTAGAAGTGATGTCAATAAAACTTGAAAAGGAATAAAAAAAAAGTAGGACATCTGGAAAGAATTTAAAAAATCCCCAAAAAAGTAAGCGATATAACAACAATACACCGGTAAATTAGGCTAGCAAATGACTTCAACCATATGGAATAGTGAAGGTAAAGCAGTAAAAGCCAAAATGCCTCAACAAATAAGCAACTGGATATTGAATTACGCACAACTGTAGGATGATGCTGTGAATCCATCGGAAATACACCACTCTCATAGTATTTTTCCAGCAATTCATCCTTTAAAAAAAAAATTTCAAAGAAGATAAAACTGTAAGTGCTCTTGAGGAAAATAAAGGAGATAACATATATGAAAAAAATCCTAATTAAATTTTTCTTTTGTTCGTGGAAGTGAACTCAACTTACCTTTTTTTCATAGATGTCATACAACCAATGTCTTAGCATATTTTCGTCTTTCCACTCAGGCCTTATTCGATAAATCTGCAGCTGAATATATTTCAAGCACCAGGAGAAGTTAATAAATCAAAGATAATTGGCTGATTTTAACATTATGAAAATTCGTTGAATGCGTGTGAAACACTACGTTCCTCAGTCACCATACTCTATAATTAAAATCCGCAAGGAATGTCAATCGAATATATTAAAGAATTGGATAGTTTACTAAATTAGATCATAGTTTTCAAGGGATGACTAGCCTGTTAAGTATCTTATCCTCGACTATTTAAATAACAAATAAAGTATCTACAATCCAGATGAAAACATTGAGTAGTTTATATCCGATTTACATCGAAGTTTAAAAGAAAATTAAAACTGAAGTTAAAAAGAATGTACGCGGCATGAAGCAATAAACAAAACTTACTTTATAGTGAACAGCAACATTCGGAATTCCATTCGGTAAATCTCCGAATAACCAGTTACCGATACTGGGTACATCGCCGTTCTGATATCCCAAGGTACAATCAATAATGTATTCCAATGAATCGCCGGTATCCTCAACTGTTGCTGAAAAAGTATGAATCCAAAAGGAACTGTTATGTAGTCTGATTTCATAAAGTTACCATAATTAGCAGTTGTCGTTGTTTCGATTGTAGCATGAGCAGCGCCAGTCCGTGGTAAAGCACAATGCCGAAAGATCTTGTAACCTTCACGAGCTGCGTATCGTGCATTACTTTCTTTAATCCGATATAGTCTTGCTCCTGAAATTAAAACTGATAACTTTTACTTAAAAATAGAAGCATTATAAGAATGATAATTCTAAATATGAATCACGTCAATGCCGCTCATAACGAACAAGAAAAGAAAGATTCATTTTATCCATGGAATTTTTTGACCTAAATGAACATGCTTTTTTTTTTTGCAAACTGCTTCTAGGTAATGAAATCCAATGAAGTCCCACTGAATTTTAACACAGTTATCCATTGTGTCGACAGAATCTCATTCACTGATAAAGATCGATGAATCGTCATGCTACAAATTTTCTGCTAAGTTAGCGAGGATTTTTTTACAAACTAAATAGAAGTAAAAAGTCTATCAAGAAGTGAAACGTAATGTTATTACCTTCCGGGTACATAATAATCCATCGATGATCATATTTCCAATAATTTCTTTTCAAATGTGTTTTGAAATCTTCTATCATTTGGTCTCGTTTTGCAACACCACCGTCAACAAAGTAATTGCCGTGAATCATCCACATCACACCCAGTGGTGTCATTTTCCATATATTGTATATAACCCAAAGATACTGAAGTAATTCGAACGATAACAAAACAATAACATTTTTTTTAAAAATGACATTTTTTAAAAATTTAATTTGTTTGGATTTCTAATTAACACAATTTCCTATGGGGAAAAGAGTCGGAAATAGCAAATAATGCAAAAGCTGTATTAAAAATACTTCAATTGAAAATGTGCACCTTCTCAACAACAGTTCCTTTGTTTCGTAACGCTGACATAATCACGAAATGATCAGCAAGACCCAAATGATTAGCAAGAAATAAAACCCGTTTTTCGGAAAGCTGAAATATTTTGGTTATTATGCGCATTTACGCATTTAAATTTAAAAGTTATTTAAGTTTAATGTGAATAAATTAAGCCCTCCAATTAAGTCACACTTCATATGAAGTTTTTTGCATGACCACCAAATCAGTAGTCAAGGATGAAATCTGAAACAGCGACCCCATTATGTTACGTGAAAATAAGTGACGCTCAGCACAACCAGTTACGGAAAAAGTAATTAGACGACAAGACATGAATCGAGAAATATGCGAGCTATTAGCATAAGTGGAAACAGTCTGAGAATTTTTAAATCTATAAGATAAAAGAAACCTTTGAAATATCATCGCCGTACTCCACAATATTAATACCTGCAATTTGTATAGCAGAACTCCAATGACCGTTTACCATACGGCAAAGCTTGTGATCAAGCCAGTTAAACCATGAAACACTGGAATGCTTATGGAAGATGAGTAAACAAATTCCTGACTGAGTTCAGTCATGTGACGTAGTTAGCTGTGAAGCAACAGACCAACCTGATACAGAGAACAGGTATCATGACGGTAAGGAATGTTGCAGTAATGATACCGGGAACAACAAAAACAGTCATAATAGTCCAGTAGAATGCACCAATCAGGGCAATAACTTTCCTCACATCCATCGAACTGATCATCACTTTTGTCAGAAAGCCATCCTCCGCTGTGACAGTTGGTCCATCCAGACCGATTCGAGCATCACCCGTTTGCAACATTTCCTAGTATTGGAGCAAATTTACTGTATCAAGTAATCGGGCAGATGTCACATTCATTACAGATGCAACCTACATCAAATCACGGAATCTGACGGATACTACAAATAAAATGCCCGCTCTTTGTAATGTTCCAATTATAAGTCTCTTCCAACACATTATTTTACTCACTGCATCCCGTATCAACTAAATTTGATGTACTGTGTGTGAACCGTCAAGAATGGCGAACTGCTCAGTAGATCTCTTAGCATAATTACTACTGATAACCATACAATTCTTATCAAACATACACTACTGCTAGCAAAATCTAGAATTACACAACCGCTAAGTGTGGACGATGACAGAAAACATCTGATTGGTTTCAAAACAACAGGATATCGAGCAACTCCATAACTGCACCGTGCTGTGTGGAGAATTCAATAACTCTACGTCACTCGATTTAGGAAGAGAAGTGTAGGGGCAGAGATAGTGACTATTTTCGGAGGTAATGCTGATATGACGGTGGCAGAGAATTACCTTCACGACAAATTTGTTTTCAAGAAACAAAGAGAAGACAGTGGGAAGAATCGGAAGATAGGAAACTAAGTAGTGGGAGAATGAGAAATAACGAGGAAAAGATCTGACGGAATATCTTGAAATGTTTCACTTTCAAATTCAATCGAATCGATTTCTAACACTATATAGCACGGCTAACACTGAAAATGTATGGCTTGGAAAAGTTTCTCTAACTTACAAACATTCCTCCAAACCATTTGATAACTCATCCGAACAATTTAATTAGTTTGAACAGTGTAAGTACGAAGCTATCAACTGTTTTGAATGGAAGATGAGAGCACATTGAGCAACATCCCAAAAGAGAATATGAGGGAGAGAGAGAGGAAGCCTAGGAGAAGGTCGAAAAGGGTATGTAGGATGATTCAGAGAGGCTCAACAATACTTCTATTTTCCTGCCGGCTCCTGTTGTTGCCACTATCGATCTTACGCTTCTTGCAGTCTTTCTCATCATCACTTACTGTCAACAATTTGTTTACCGATACAATCGCCACTAGTGATAGTGGAGGCCACTTTCTTGAATCATTACTAATATGATCCTTGAGAAGACATAGCATTTCCGTAAAGTCATATCATCGCTCTTCCGGTCCTTTGATCCCTTTAATCTATACAGCTTTTCCACGATACAACTGTTGCTTATTTGCTTCGTAGTAAGCTATCACAATTTGATATCTCACAAAGTGCAAATAAAAAAAAGTAAAAGGGAGAACGAAACCCGAAGAAGTTATCTACTCACCACCAATCAATCATTACACTATATGTGGCAGTTACCTGTCGAATGAGACCTAATGAGTGATTGTATAATAAATATTTGTTCCAACTATTGGGCTCCACTGAATTATGCGCTTATGATAGGTGGAGGTGAATGAAAGATGGAGGAATTACTAGCCGATGGGTTATTAGAGGAGACTTCCGGGAAATACAACGGAAGTAGCAGGAATAAATTAGCCAATGTCGAGTCTCTTTCATGGCTAGCTTACATAAGAAACGCCACACAACGGAAAATAGTTTTGGACACAACGTCGCTTGTTGCCTCTAAAATAGTCCTGTCGGGTCCAAATACTTCCAGCCAGATTGCCAGGTATATGTACTACGATGTCCCTGGAAATGGCACCGACCAGCCAAACAGAATACATTTCCACATTCGTCTATCCTAGGTCATCCTGGATTTGCCACTATTCGCTGTCGTAACCTGAAAATATATTCCGCCTATATTTAATTAGTTGAATACATCGACAACTATTACAGGAAGAAAGCATATTTCTGAACTGTTCAAGTTTCAGAAATGGTACTGGGACAGCGCATGATCATTTTACCACTAACTGCACTTCATATCGGATTACTTTTTTCAAAATCATTAAATAAGGAAGTATTCTTCAAAGAGAACTTTTTTTCTAGACTCTTTCTTTTCCGGAAATTTGACCGGAACACCCGGTAGAGAACATGTCACATTTCTGACTCTGACAATTGAATATGAAACTACACTTCCTCAGCTCAGTTCTATTTAACCGCATATCATGATACTGTGACAGGAACAAAATTTGTTTAAGCTTTGAAACGGCAATTAGAAGCAAATGAAGAGTTTAATTTCATATTCAACGATGAACTTTTTGATAGATTTTTTTTTTTTTGTTTTTTTTTTTTTTTTTGATGCAACAAGTTTTCGGGGAAAGAATAAAACAGTTGGTCTCTTCCTCCAAACAAAACATATATTTCAAACAGAACACTCCAAATACACTTTTCTTCTTTACAAAACTATCTGCTGAAAAAGTGAAACGTTGAAAACACCTCGAAGTGAACTTTTAAGCATCACTACTACTGCTTATCTATTTCGTATTTTTCACTCTACAAAAAAGGCTATAACAAATCTTACGGTTTCAATGCATGGTTCCTTACATATGTTCTTTTTATCTGAATTTATGCTAATATTATTACGCCAGCTTTTGTTAGTACAGGGCCGCTCACCTGATGCTTTTAATTTTGTTGAATTTGAAATATGAGTAGCATCTTTGAGTGGTACTTTTAATCTCAGCTTTAGAGCAACGTTTACAAAGAGAACATAGTGCAATTCAAAGCTAGGAGTTGGGTCGGACTTCGAGGACAATTGGTAAGTCATTTGAGATCAGCGAACACAACACAGTTGACAGTTAGTCACTTGAGAATGTGGTAAGCGCAAGTCGGGGATGAGTGGAAGGAAAACGACAGTGACTGTCAGAGTGATTTGTTGCTATGAAAGGCGAGAAGAGAAGGTAAAGGACATACTTCCGCACTTCTGCAGTGTGTGGAGGAATATAAATTCATCTTTGGAATGGAATAAACGAACTAAAAAAAACAAATTGTTTGAAAAATACGATTCGATTTAGAAAGTGAGGGTGAATTTCTCATGAGGAATGTGATGATGACAAGGTGAAGGTGGGACTCTTACCGGTCACTACGACAAAAAGTGAATAGGAGTTTTGAGATGGAACAAAGAAAGCTACGTCACGCAGTTTACCTTCCTCAAATCTCCACACCTATTAACATGTTTCTCCTTCCTGAAGACAATGAGAAGTATCAATTAAAGCCTTCTGGATATGTCCACTTGAAATCTTAAATAAAACAACTATGAACAGTTCAAACAGCGTGCACCATCTATGTTTATTGGGCTTTAAAAGACAAGAACGATATGTAAACAAACATTTGATACGTAAGCGTATATTATCTATTCATGCACGCATGTAGCCTACGCATTATTGTAACACGTAGAACCGAGATATCTCAGATCAGAAAAGTGACAGAACTCTCTCGCGCTATTGAATTAGTGATGAAGTAGAAAAAGGAGAGAGAGAGAGGAGGAGAGGAGAGGCGAGAAGAGTGGTGGTTCAGTTTTGTGCTGGAAAAAGGACTGACATTGACCGATGGAGGCTGTGACACTTGGAGCTTGCTTGAATCCATTTTCGGTGTGCGAGAATGAGTGAAGGGATTTGAAAGTAAATACTGACTGCAGGCACTGATAACGGTTGATGGTATCAAGGACGTAGTGTTCTTCAAGTGATTTTATCAGTTGTTATAAAAGTACAAATGTGTTATCAGTGAATCAATATCTCAAATTATCATGATTTTATTAAACAGTGTATTCAGAATATTTCTTCGGAAGTGTATTCTGTCACCCTACATATTCTGTAGTGTTGTGATGTTGTCGTTGCATTCTGTGTCATCGTTAATGAATCTTCTTTCCCGTTTCCTAAAAATGGAAATAATTGCCACTGGAAAGATAAAATGGTCATCAAGAAGTTGACATGAAGCAATGATCACATTGCATGCTTAGAAATTGGAAACATAAGACGATGTGACAAATGAAATAATTAAATTTAAATCTCTAGTTTCATAAATTTCACTGCACCAAACTCACCGGTTTTCGAATTCTGTTAATATGATGATAATGACATAAGATATGTTCTGAACTACAGCTCCAAAAAATACATTTCAATTTCTGATTATGAACAATTGCATATCTTATCACAATATTTATTACAGATGAGGCATTAATTACGGACGATACATGTATTGCCAGTCGTAGAAAACGGATATTTTCACGAATCTCAAAACGCGTGATCAAATACTTTGCCCTCACTCGGTACAAACAATGTGACAGAACTGTTGGCGAAAGCTCATTTTACCTCTCTGTGATAACCTCTGGCATAACGACTGATGCAAATTCAATTGTTATCTTATAAAGGCATTAATTGTACCAATTCTTTAATACTATTTGCAGATTGTTCCAATAAACAAAGCATTCGAGAATGAGTTAAACATGAAATGAAAGAGAGTCATCACTTAATGCACCCTGTCGGACCTACTTGATAGCGCATCGCCAGACTGCACTGACTGCTGGTCATCTTTCTTTTCAACTTTCTGTTGTATAGTGATAAAGGAAATGATATCACTGATTAAAACTGAGTAGGAAACGATGCAATAACGATATAACTTATTCGTTGCACTCAAAACACAAGTGGACCGAAAATTGGTTCCAAACTGTAACACGATTTTACTGTTCGAACAATTCTATCACCATCAAACCCAAAGATAAAACGCCCATCGAGCAATTCTGATTTCTAGCTAACTTTGCAATAGATGACAATTTGTTCTATGCTCCATGGAAAGCTTGTTTGCCTCCCAAATTGCCTTATAATGTATTCATTAATATATTAAGAAAGCTTTTTTAAACGAGTAATTTTCGACTGTCATAGCTGTCCGATGGCTTAAAAAATAAGTATCAATCCTCCAGAACACCACTGATAAATTATTATTGTAGCAATAATAAAAGTATCTTTTCGCTTTTCGTAATGGTCCAATCTTGAAAGCATTTAGAATGTTAACTTTTTTGTAATACAACAAAACTTTTGTTTTCCCCCATTCATCTCGACTTCAGATAGATGTAAAGACTTATGTCAAGGTCAAGCAATGGGACTGTGTCCTGTTCCAAAAGTTTCGAAGCAAAAATAAATGGTTTTTTATTAAAATTAGCAGGTTGGACGTCACACTTCAAGAATTGAATTCACACCCACTGCTTGGTCTGCCTTTTTACTTTTGCTAACTGCAGTGGAACTCTTTATCCATTGTTTGTTGAAGAATGTTCATCACAGGGACGCGTCACCAAAAAATACACTTACTTCACGGTAGCAAACAGTCATTCAATGGGAAAGGTCAGTACTGACGTGTGAATATTGAAAAAACCCAAAACAAGCGGTGCACGAATGATAAAACACTCGGTGTAAGGCATCAGAAGGACACAGGGTTGACTCAGTGACTTGCTGGACAAATGAATTTTGTATGCCGTCGTAAATGTTCCACCAAGACTGAGCAAAATTGCAGATATATTCATATTTTGTAAAAGTACGAGCGAATTTCTGTAAATTGTTTCTGCTTTTGGTAGGTGACACTAGTTTGTTTGGTAAGGGAGGAGGCAGACATCCGTAGCTCATTTATTCAGATGAACTCACTACTGTTCTCTCAAGGTGTCTGGATTATTCTGAACTAGGCTCATCCCAGCCAACTAGGCACATTTGCTTCTTCCCATTCTCGAAGTACCTTCTATCCTGAGAGAAAAAGAAAGGCTGTTTACCTGTGTAATACTATATGTTTCACCTCAAACAAAGCGAATTTTAGTATAAAAAAGGTCGTTATTAAAACAACGGTAAGTAGTGAAATATTATCATTTTATGTCATGCGAGGGCTTTCAAGCACAAATCATTCCCGTGTAATCGGGTCTCTAACTGAAATACAAATAACCAGTACAAAAGGGTTTTCCCATCTGATATTCACTGTTTTTCGATTTATTGGTTTTTTCTGATTCAACGACATCCCTCCTTTTGCGTTTCTCGGAATTGACAGATTAGACAAACATTTGTTAGAGGAATATATTTCCGTCTTGCAGAAATGTATTACACTGAGTTAATTGCTAATGAATTCCTATTGCAACAAGTATTTTCGCAACAAATCTGTATTCTTAGCGCATTAAGTGTCAGTGTTTTCTTATCATCGATTTTCATTGTTTACAGTTTTCTCTATTGCTTTAGCTTCAAGTACCTCATTTTCCACATCAACGATTACATCCTTATCATTTCCAATAGATGTCGTGAATTTGAAGTAACTTTTTAGTCAGAAGAGTAGATGATTTAGGCTAGTTAAGTTCACTTGACTCACTTTAAATTTGTAGAACTTGAACTGAACCTTTTGCTTCTCATGTGCGAGCGAGATCGACTCAGGTATCGTTTATTTTCTTTATAGATGTGAATGGATGGAAGGAATAAATGGTATTATTGAATAGGAGGTTGAGAAGACTGCCACCGATCGTGTCTATTTTATCAACTAATTAGAGAAGATTTTTAAAGATATAGGAAGTGGGTTAGCTTAGCAAATTAACATTTATAATGAAGACAGATGTATATTTACTATTTGAGGTTTAGATAAAGGATTCGCTGTTTCAAAAATGAGAAATAACAAAGGAATAACGAATTGGTTCATAGAAATGAATCTTTAACATTATTCTAAACACTTAATTTTTTTATTTTTTTTGTCTGATATTTTTTTGGTTTTCACTAATAAATATTTCTTTCCAGTTTTTCACTACGAAAATTTTGTCATAATTCCACAACGTCGGCGGTCATAGCTTTAC